TGAGATGAAGCTGCACAGAGCTGCTGATGAGATGAAGCTGCACAGAGCAGCTGGTGATATGAAGCTGCACAGAGCAGCTGATGAAATGAAGCTGCACAGAGCTGCTGATGAGATGAAGCTGCACAGAGCTGCTGATGTGATGAAGCTGCACAGAGCTGCTGATGTGATGAAGCTGCACAGAGCAGCTGGTGATGAAGCTGCACAGAGCTGCTGATGAGATGAAGCTGTACAGAGCAGCTGCTGAGATGAAGCTGCACAGAGCAGCTGCTGAGATGAAGCTGCACAGAGCAGCTGATGATGAGAGATGAAGCTGAAAATCTCCACTGTCGTCACGAGCTGCTCACCACAAACATTCTCACACAGATTATAAAAATTACACATTGTGATAAAACCTCTGAGCTGTCTGTCCATTCATCCTTTCATCCTTCCATTCATCCTTTCATCCTTCCATTCATCCATCCAATACACAACGATGCTAAAAACACAACCACACATTAATCAGGACCGCAGGAGTGACAGTCCAGTCCGCAGATAGAGGACGGCAGAGCTGGGGGGACCCATCTACATCATCCTCCCAGAATGCATTGCACCAAGCAAAACGTGACGATGTCTTTAAGTGAAAAATGTATTAATCATGCACAATGTTTTAAGTATTTAGGAATTTCACGTGTCAAACAACTTTTATAGAATAGGTAAACAACAACATGTGCAGGAAGTCAGAGATCTGTTTAAGAACCGTAGCAGCCGTGATGTTCGGTGTCTCCACACAGGAGGCTGCAGGAGATCCTCTGGATGAACAGAACATCTCAGCAGAACATTTCAGGTGTTCCTCTGAGTGTAAAGAACAAACAAACTGAGGCAGTTTGCCGTTTTACTCACCCAGCAGGTTCTGCTGGTCCTGGTACAGCCGGGTCACTCTCTCCATCAGCTCCCATTTCTCACAGCAGCCTTTGTAGTTGACGAAGTTCCGGGCCAGGATTTCCTTCAGTTGCCGAACGCTGAGTGCCTCGATATCATCCACGCTGTTCAGGTCTGACAGCGAGGCTCTGCGTCCCGAGACCGGGGCCTCCTCCGGGTCCCAGTTCTGAACCGGGTGAAAGAAAAACTGGGTCACATCATGTCAATACGTTAGCACACCGGGTCTGAAGTTCTGAGGCCGTTAGGAAAGAACAAACGTTTATATATTAGTTAAAGGCTTTCTGGGAATCTTTTGACCCTTCAGAGCCACCGTACAAACAAACAACAGTTCTATTCAGTTTTGCTCAAAGACCTGAGGACCATGAACCTTTAGACCTCTAGGACCTCAGAGGCCTCAGGACCATGAACCTTCTAGGGCTGTAACAACGAATCAATAAAATCGATTATTAAAAGTGTTGGCAACGAATTTCATTAGCAATTCGTTGTGTTGCGTGATTAAGCGTCTTTCACGCCGCTGCGGAGCTGTTTTGTTCACATGCAGTTCATTGTCAATGCTGACCGACTGAATAAAGTTAAAAAAAAAAAAAAAAACTCTGCAGCGCGAGCTGAACAGAGGGAGAGGTGGAAGCAGAGCAGAGGCTGTTTTCAAAGGAAACGAAGGAAATTTTACAAATGACCGACGAAGAGAAAACTGTTCGATCCAAATCCTCCAAAGTGTGGGAGCACTTGACGCTTCACAAAGATAAAAATTGCGCTACATGCAGCTTTGAAAAGTGACAACATGGTACGGAGCACCACAGAGATGAAACGTAAACATGTGGGAGTCATGAGGAGGATGAAGGAGCTGAACAGCTGATACAAGTCGTCATGTGTTGCAGGTGAGTCTCTACAATTAAACACATTAAAGTGGACCTCTGGAACCTCAGAAACCTCAGGACCATGAACCTTCAGACCTCAGAGACCTCAGGACCATGAACCTTCAGACCTCTGGGACCTCAGGACCATGAACTGAGCAGGTCTTACCTGGTCTTCATCCTGCAGGTCTGGCTCGGGCTGCAGTGTTTCCAAGGCTGGGGCTGGAACTTCTGGCTCTGGAGTGGGCGGGGTCGAGATGAACGCGTTGACAGGAGGGTCAGAGGTCATTGTGGGAGTGTCAACAATCGGGGTGTCGGGGGCGGAGCTACTGGAAGGTGAGGACTGCTGAGTCAGGATCAGCTCCACCAGCTCCTCCTGAGGAACAGGAAGTTCTGGTTAAACGGGGGCTGGGAGGACCCTCAGGATCAGACCTGAACTGAAACTGTGAAGTTTTTTTTATGAAAACAAACTCAGAAATAAATAAAAACTGATCAAAAACAGAAGCATCAACTGCGGTTTAAAGAAAATTTAATTGTCACAACAACAACAAAAAAGAAGTTAAAAAAAAAAAACAAAGAAAAATACTTATCAGCTTTGTTTTATCTTTAAAACAAAGATAACTGAAGATCTCTAATTTATTAAAATAAAGGTTTAATTTTTTTCCTATAATTTAGTTTATGTATTTAATGTTATTAATTATTAAATTATTTATTAACATTTATTAAATTAGGCAAATCTCATTGAGATCACTGATCTCTCTTACAGTGGAGGCCTAACATTATTATTTTTAATTAATTAAAAATTTGGTAAACATAAATATTTTTATTATACATATATACAGTTTTAATTAACATTAAAGGGTAATTAGTAGATATAGTATTTTTATAAAAATAAGTTTAAAAATAGAACTATAATGTACTTATTTTATTTACTTATACAAATTACAATATTATAAATTATTAATTTTCTTTATCTTAAATTAAAATTTTCATTATTTATATTTTAAATACGGGAGATTTGTTTCTTTTTTGTAAGAAATAATTAGAAACAAAATATAAATCATACAATTATAAAAAACTATTTGTAACTTATGTTTTTATTATTATTATTTGAGAGTACTCATAAATTATTTGTAAAGAATATATATTTATATTTGTATTATTCCAAACAATAATTTTTTTTCTTTAAAATAAAAACAAACTTTCCGAACATCAGAACGTTAAATAAACACTCAATCGTTTTTGATTTAGGTTCTGGTTCTGGATTAGTTCTGCTGATGACTCGGTTCAGTCCAAACTGATGTTGGACTTATGGCAGCTCAGCTTTCAACTGATCCCCGATCATCAGACCTCCACCGCCGTGCCTGACAGCTGTTCTGAAGGCTTCAGGTGATTCTCTCACCTGATTGGCTGACATTTGTAAACAATTACATCATTACCCTCACCTTCTCTCTGCACAGGTGCGTGGAGACCTCGTGCAGATGCAGGTAGTCCCTCAGTTCCTTTACCTTTAGCTTCATAAGCTCCGCCCTCTCCAGCAGGTTCCCATAGAAACGCTGACAAGTGTGACAGAGGCGGGGGCGGAGCTCCTGCTGGGCGGAGCAATGGCTGCAGTAGTTTTTCTTACAGTCCACACACATGTGCTGCGAGACAATGGGGACAGGTGGAGACAGGTAAGGACAGGTACAGACAGATGGGGACAGATATGGGCAGGTAGAGAAAGGAAGGAACAGATAGAGAAAGGTAGAGACAGGTACAAACAAATAAGGACAGGTAGAGACAGGTGAGGACAGGTAGAGATAGGTGAGGATAGGTGAGGGAAAGTAAAGACAGGTGTAGACAGATGAGGATGGTGGGGTCATTTAAAGACAGGTGATGACAGGAAAAGACATGTGGGGACAGGAAAAGACAGGTGGGGAAAGGAAGAGACAGGTGGGGACAGGAAGAGACAGGTGGGGACAGGCAGAAACGGGTGGGGACAAAAAGAGACAGGTGGGGACAGGAATAGACAGGTGGGGACAAAAAGAAACAGGTGGGACAGGTAAAAACAGGTGGGGAGAAAAAGACAGGTGGGACATGTAGAAACAGGTGGGGACAGGTAAAACAAGTGGGGACAGGAAGAGACAGGTGGGGACAGGTGTAAAACCAATCAAACGGTCTGAGCCCTCAGCTCCTCCGTCTCTCTCCGTCAGCTGATACATGTGACGGCATCATGTTTATATCAATTTTAATATAAACGAACTAAACTGGGTTCTTCAGACCAGAGTTCTGACTGGACCTCTGCAGGTGGGCGGAGTTACCTTCCTGGCAGGTGTGTCGAAAGAGCCCCCGCAGGCCTTACAGGTGTGTTCGGGCGGAGATGGCTGAGTGCTGAAGCCCGAGTTGGTGTAGGACCGATGGTGTCGGTCGGACCCACCGGACCGGTCCACATCCACTGAGTCCATACACAACCAGTTACAGCACGAAGTAAACATGCTGACAAAACACACACACACACACACACACACACACACACACACACACACACACACACACACACACACACACACACACACACACACACACACCCACACACACACACACACACACACACACACACACACACACACACACACACACACACACAGGTTACTGTCTACAACAAAGTCCATAAGTTCTCAAACAGAACCCGGAGTCCAGAACATTCTACATTTTTCTACTTTTAAATGTTGAAATATTTAAAGTCAGGATTGGTTCTGATCCGAGGTCTCAGATGGTTTCAGGTTCTTCGGCTGTTTGGAGGACGTTCTCAAGTTGTTCTTTAGATGTTCTGTTCTAAGTCAGGATGATCACCACTGTTGCAGTCAAATTCTGGTCCAGGTTCTGGTCCAGGTTCTGAGGAGACCGACTTTAGGGAACCAGCAGATGGATCAGGCTGGATCAGACCTGCAGCTGGTACCAGCTTAAATAGGACAAAAGTCCAAACCATGACAGAAGGAACCTCCACCGTGTCTGACAGAGGGATGGACTTTCTGATCCACTTAAAGAAGGAGATGTTCTGAACCAGATCTCTAAAAGCTGATTCATCTCTCTGTAGGACGCACGTTCAGTTCTGGTTTCCGTTTCTGGTCCTGAAGAATCTTTGTGGGTTTGTCTAAAAGTTAATTTCAAGATGGCTGCCACAGCAAACACAAAACCCTGAACCTGTGACCGATACCGAGCTAAGGTTCGGTGCGGTAGTAGCCGAAACTGATCCCTTGCTCCAGACCTTTTAAAACTTTACTTGAAGTCAGTGCTGTGTTAGCACAATATCTCATGACCCACTGGACAGATTCTAACGAAGCTCCCAGGAAGAAACAACAACAACAACAACAACAACAACAACAACAACAACAACAACAACAACAACAACAACAACTTTAAGCTGTGCACCCAAGGATGACTGATGTCAGACCTTTGTGGCTGAAGCAGACTTTTAGAAATCAGGGCAGCCGATGGCCGACAAACAACCACCATTTGTTTAATTTGTTTGTTTTTGGTCAGAATATATTTTTAATTTAACAAATTATAACGGCAGTTGTTGTTACCTAAATAAATGTATATTAACCAAACCTTTAGAAGAACCAGTTCACTTAAAGAGCATTTTCATAAAACTAAAATTCTCCTTTATGAGAGTCATTGTTGCCAGATACAAGATATTTATCATACTTAACTGGTAGTTTTAGCTTCATACAATGATAATAATAGATTTAAAAAGCTAACATATGTGATTGATTTTTGGTAATTTTATTTCTAAGTACCATAAAACAAAAACATCCTGTTTTTATTCATGTGAACCCCCACATCTCATCAGAAGACTTATCTGTAAATAAATACAATACTTTTAAAGCAAGAGTACAGAGTTTGGCAAGTTCTTATCTGGCAACCCGGATTGTTTGTAATTAATTAGATCTGAACAGACTTTGGATGAATGATTTATTTATTTATTTATTTATTTATTTTTGGCCGATGTCAGCTGATTAGTCTCTCCAGTGTTGTGTAAAGACTTTAGAAAGAAATGGAGGATTTAATAATGTGTTTAGGACAGAGGCTGTCAAAGTAAATATTTTAATTCACACTTTACCTTTAAAAATATTAATCTGACACAGGAATGCTACAGGTCTCACTTTCAGTTTGGAAAACTGAAGTTTCAACGTAAAAATAAAACTTAATATTTAATTTACGTCCACACAAATATTCCCGTTTCTCCAAAGTTTTACACATTACATCCGTTAAACTCAGTTTTAATTTTTATAAACAGGATTCTCAACCATGTTAAAACTGTTAAGTGTCTCAGAAACGTTGTTTACTAACGTCAAAAATACAACTGCTCGGTGAACTCCATTACATTAAAAACACTTAAGTCTAAACATACTATCACTTAATGTTTTATAAAACAAAACAAGCTTTAACGTTTGCTTTCGATGTTCTGGTAAATTCGGCTTTAAAGTTTGACGAAGCAGGAAAAATATTTTACCTCATTCAACCTAACAAAATTTCGTGAGTAAAGTTTAATTGTGATTAAAAAATAGCCCTGTTTCAGTTTTAAATTGCGGCCGAATTATAAAATGCATTTTACTCACATGTAATAAATGACCGTTTAAGTTTTATTTTGATTATTTTCATGGCAATACCTGAAAAATGTTTAAATCCGACGTTTTGTTAAGGGAGTTCCGCGCGAGGAGTCTGGAAAGTACCGAACGCTGCTAGCAGGCTAAGCTAACATCTGCTAAAGTTTGAACAAACGCCGAAGAAGAGCGAAACAAACTAAAACCAACGAAGAAGACAAACCGAGTCGGAGTTTAAAATAACCCAGTTAGGAGTTTCATGCGACTCGGAATACACCGGTCCAGACAGTGACATACCGAACCGAACTTACCTGTCAGTAACAGAACCACCGCTAACAACCAGCTAATTCACCGAAGAGTCGGTTAGTTAACACTAACCGGCAGGTTAATCCGACCGCCGTAGACTAGTTAACATGGCCGACCTTAACTGACTGGAACCATGAAGTCAGAAGGAGCGGAACCAGGAAGACTTTACCAAAACACTCAGACACGCGCGCACGCACGCACACGTCTTTCTATCTTTGCAGGGACTTTGCATTGACTTCCATTCATTTTCCATTCACTTGCACTGAACAGAAACATTCACATACATACAGTCAATTAATTAAATCCTCAGATAAATGATGTCATTAACTTACTTTTATTTATGTGAACGTTTCTGTTCAGTGCCTGAGATGACTTGTGTTGTGACTTGGCGCTATATAAATAAACTGAATTGAACTACCGTAATTTCCGGACTATAAGCCACTACTTTTTTCACATGCTTTGAACACTGCGGCTTATACAATGCTGCAGCTAATTTATGGATTTCGGGGTTTTTTTTGGACGGGTTAACAAACTTCATGCCGCCACAAAATTTTGCTTCGTTACACCCGGAGAGACTCCAAACAAATCAAAGTTTCTTCTAAAATTTGACAATTATTGTTAAATTTCAAACAATATTATCGTTTATCGCAATAATTTCTTAGACAATTAATCGCCCAGCAAAATTCGTTATCGTGACAGGCCTATTGTTGCATTTCGTCACATATTGTTCTTGTACCGATGTGCGTTCGTGTTCACCAAGTTTCCATGGTCCATTGGGGAGGGAAGGAAATCCCATTCTCGTTTCCCCTCCCCATTGTGCCCCCAGGGAGGGGGGAAACACGATGAAGAGGACAGCATAATCTCATGGGCACAGTGTGCAGCATACACATGATACATGTCTGTGGTGCGCAAGAAGATAAAGATAGCGATCAATTACTTCCTGGTAGACTACTGTTTTTTTTTACCAGCTGTGTTACAGGCACTGTTTAGAAAAAAAAAACATTTACTGTACGTATTTCTGTATGTTACGGTACACATTTCATTAAAGCTTTAAAAAATCTGTGTAAATCATCTCATGTTACAACATGGACATCCGCGCCACATACACAAGTGCGGCCTATATCAGAATCAGAATAAACTTTATTGGCATTGCACCGAGATACAACGCGAACATGTACGTACGGTCGTCCGAAAGGTGGGCGGAGTGCACGAAGCTACAACTACTGTATATAGAAAGCGCGGCCTTTTCTTATTCTTATTCAGAATAATATTTTGCTTAGATGAGAAAAGGAAAGAAAACATGAGGAGAGACGGTATAAAAAAAAAGATTTCTCACACCGTGTCCTAGACAGGGCACGATTTGAGGCATCAAAAAAACCTACCACAGCAAAGCAACATAAACAGACGTTATACATGAACATATAGGCGGTGAAGACATTGATTTTTTAAGGGAAAGTCGTAGCATAGTAAGAGGTGACGTTCATCTTCAGCTCAGTTGAGGTTCTGTCACATGTCCACGGTCTTGGGGAAGGGAGAGGTGAGGAGACAAAGCATCTTTGTTGTTTTCAAAACATTCCAGGAGGAGTTGAGATAAGTCCGGCGTCAAGGCCACAGTTTGGGTCAGACAGAACTCGTGAATTGTTGTTTCTGCCTTATTAATATTATACGTGCAAAAAAAATATATATATATTTTTTTTTTTTAGTGAGTGCATCTTAGGTGCGCTTGATAGTCCAGAAATTACAGTAGTACTGTTATTTATCTAAACAGGAGCCCTTCATCCACCTAACCCCACCCCAGCCTCAATTCACACGTTAGTTCAGGTCTCTCTTGTGAACGAGTCCCTGAGGCTCACAGGGATCCACCTGTGTAAATGAAGGTTGACTGAGTGAGTGTTGGAAAAATGGGCTTTACAAGGTAACAAATACAGACACACACAGGAAACAATTTTAAGTTCTTAGAGCCATCATATATTTTCTGATAAAACCACTCGTAACCCGGATGAACCCTCAGCAGGGAGGGGAGGGATTTGCATGTGAGTTGGTGGCTCAGAAGCATTTAAAAACATAAAACTGCAGTTTTTAGTTGGAATTAAAAGAACTCCTCCGATGTGAAACAGAAATGCCGCTCGCTCTGATCGAACCTTCAAACCGAGCGTTGAGGATGATTCTCAGCTACTACCTCACACCTGAAAAACTGACTCAAAATCATTTCTGGGTTTGCAGGTCTGTTGGCTGTGGCGGCCATCTTGGATCCACCCATTGAAGTCCAGGAAGGAACCTCTGGACCCTGGGTCGAGGAACGTTGGGACCCAGCAGGTGGAGTTTCCATTCTTCTCAAGAGGACACATCAAAACCTCAGAACTTTCTAAATTTTCTTTCAAGAACTGTTTCTTCTGAGTCAACCTAGAACTGAGACCGATTCTGATGCATCTCTCAGGTTCAGGTCTGGCCTGGATTTGTTCCCGTTAAGACTTTCCGATGGCCTAACATTTTTCAGTCAGGTCATCTGGACAGTTTTTTTTTTTTTTGTGCTGAAATGTTTCGCCTTCAATCCGGAAGGCTTCATCAGTCAAGGAAACACAACAAAACTGATTCTTCCTCCAAAGTGGAACAAACCAGTTCTGCTTGTGATAAGATGGTCTCTTTGGTACGCCCCCTCCTCCATTGCCAGCCCTCTTCCTTGTTGACAGTCTTGTCAATCTGGTTGAAAACAACAAAGTCCATGCTCAATAATCCAGGTATACAATCCAACATTTTTCAGTCAGGTCATATGGAGGTTTTTTTTTTTTTGTGCTGACTTTTTGATGGCGTTGATCCGCTGCGGTTTTTTAGACCCTAAATAGTTGTTCTGTTTTCTCCAAAGACCTGCTGCGGTTCTGGACGGCTGCATCATCCTTCATTCGCTCCAAGCCCAAATACAAAACTGAAAGACTCTCAAGTTACCAGGAACAAAGTGAAGTCTAAAGAAAAGAGCTTTGTGTTCAGAAACAGAACAGCAGCTCTGCTCTTTATTCTGAGGATTCAAACCGAGAACCCGGCCCGGACCCCGCCCACCCTGAAAGCAAACAGATTCTGGTTGGTTGTTTGATGATGATGACACAGTTTTATTGCAATAATAAACAGTGGGGCAACAAATGAACAATAACATGTTTAGAAAAAGTTTACGTCCCGGTAAACAAACGCTGCTCACCTGAGCCACCACAGACCTGATCCACACAGACCTCACCTGGACCTGGTTCAGGCTCCAGAACCAGAACCAAAGAAGCACACGCTACAATTTGAGCTACAAACCAAAGTTCCAGCTTTATTGGACAAGAAGATTTTTTTTTTTTTTTAGACTTTGAAGATCATTTAATAACAAATTCTTGGTGGAAGTCGGCGTCGGATCCACACTGAAACAATCGAAGGACACCGAAAAAAAAAAAAAACCTTCAAATTTCTTCTTCTGTGTTGGCGACGTGTTAGCGCCGCCGTCCGGTCGGGAGGCTGCGACGGCTGCTTTAAACGGGTCAGTGCTGCATTCAAAGACAGGTGGGAAAAAAGAGGCGAGGGGACGAGACGCAACACAGAAAGAGAAGAAAAAAGGGAGCAAGAAGTAAAGAAGGGACAAATCATTAAAACACTTGAAATCTTCTCATTCATCGTTCTGTTCTTTACCTCCTGCGCCCATCATGAACCCAAACATCAAAACTTTGTTTCTCCTCTGTGAAAAACATTAAACTGGTTTCTGTTCCACTTCCTGATCTTTAACAAGTTCTGGTACCGACACACAAACCGCCCAATGGACCGGGTTACACTTAACGGGTACCAACTGAGTACTCGCTAAGAGTAACATGGAACACACTGGGTACATACTCAGTAAGTACCAAACCCAGTAACTTAGGACAAACAGGCATTTCTGGTACATACATGCATACTATATTTGTACCAATTAAGTATATAACCAATAAGTATGTAACTGGTAAGTAAGTACCCAGTATGTGCGTACATACTGTGTATGTTTTTTTTACCCAATAAGCACATACCTGGTGGGTATGCAAAGACACAGTAAACAAGTACCTGGTGTACTTGGTAAATAAATACCAGGTGTGTACGTACAGTGCTTATCAAGTAAGTATGTACCAGGTATGTATATCCTTGTGCACTTGGTAAGTAAATACTGGGTGAACTTACCTACGTGGTATTTAAGTACCCAGTAAGTACCTGGTACAATTCAGGATGGAAGTGGGGCCAGAACCAGCCCAGTATCAGAACCTGGTTCAGACCGTCAGCAGCTCCTTCTTGTGCTTTATTAGCAACTGATTAAATCTTTTAGATTATTTTCTAATCCAGTAGTCCCTCACTACTTCACGGTTCGACTTTTGCGGACTTGCTGTTTCGCGGATTTTCAAAGTACAGTACTGTAAGATTGTACACGACAATAAATAAATAAAATAAATAGTGCCACCATTTTGTAGTTTTCTCTCAATAAGCCTACACTGTATCGCCAGTCTAAAGGACTACATTACCCAGAAGGCAAAGTTGCTTTCTGCTGAAATGGAGGGAAAGTTTTGATCCGATCCGAAAAAGTTCGGTCCTTACAGTATTCGTAGTGACTTCGGCGCTCAGTGGATGCAGAGAGCCGATCAGAACCGGACCAGGGCTGGGTAAGTCTGCCGAACCAGAACCGAGCCAGACCGGAACCGAGCTGCTGTGTTCTGCAGAGCTGGTGAGTAAAAAGGCATTACTGCTTACTCAACTTAAAATTTCAAGTTGAGTGAATAAACATTATCACGTTATCTTGATTAATAAACTCTTACTAAATAAACTTTTGCTTTAGTTTAGTCGATTTAAATTTATTAGCTGACTGAACTGTTTTGGTTGTTTCAACTCAGAAATCTGTCATTTCCACTTCGCGGTTTTTCACTTATTGCGGGGGGTCCGGAACGTAACCCCCGCAATAAACAAGGGACTACTGTAGTTTAGATTAAAGGATCTTTAATTCCTCCCCTGAGATAATTTATTTAATTTAATCTCCTGAAACATCTCCTGATGTTCTAACTCAGAACTTCAGTTCCTGTCGGATCTTCCGCTGAATTAAAGATCAAAGAGAACCGGCGTTTTCAGTGTGGACCAACAGACCAATCAGAGCAGAGCTTTCCTCTCAGCTTAAGCTCATCCTGAAAGCTGATTGGACAGGACTCTGAAAACACAGCTGAGACAACCAATCAGAGGAGACCTGACTGTAGGCCACGCCCTTCAACAGACTGATCTGCGCTGCATTCAGGTTCAGGTTGGAAGTTTATGCTTTACTTGTTTTAGATGCAATTAATTAAAGATTACGGAACTTTGGTTAACATTGTTTTCAGTTTTTTTAAGTGAACTTTAACGCAGCTTTTATCATCAACCAGTTTGTGAAGAAAATTCCTGTAGACAGTGAACGCGTCATTTCTCAGCCCAATGTCACCTGAATAAGTGCATCATGGGAAAATAACTCTTTCCTTCAGGTGGATTGCTGCAGATATCTGAGGGGGCGGTGCCAGCTGGAAGCCAGAATTTCATCCTGTTGCAGGATAAGCCCCGCCCCCCAGGATTATGAGCAGTCACATTATTTGAAGATGGAGAATCTGATTGGTCACCATGGAAACGAGCAACTATTTTTTAAACGGAGAGGAGCAAATAAAAATGTCTGTCTACAACTCAACCAATCAGGGTTATGGGGCGGGACTTCAGCTGAACTATCAGGAAATACAAAAAATAATGAGATGCAGGTTTACCCTGCGGGGGCGGGGCTACTGGGGAAAGCAGGTATGACATCACAGTAAGCGGAGGTGGCATTGAGGGGGCAGGGCTTACATGCATTTATGAGCTGCTTGCTGTGTTTGTGTTTACAGGTTTATTGTTGATCAGTGTCGGAGTGCACGTCGGCTTTATTCCACTAAGAATAAATACTCGACACAAACAGGAAGTAGAAGTGGGGTGGCGTTTGTCTGAAGGAATGCTAACTAACTGTTTTTACATCCTGTTTTTTGCGTGTGTCAAAGTTCAATCACATTAGCTCCTCATGCCCCCCACTCCCGCCCCCCAGCCCTGGCAGCCTTCAGTCTTAGGGTTTTTCTTTGGAGATCACCTCTTCTCGTGGCTTTGCTCCGCCAAAGATGGCAGAGTTTGGGTTGGCGACCTGGTTGAGCGGTTCTGAGACGGTCCGAGGTTTCAGCTGCAGGCGGGGCCGCTGTGCACGCTCCTCTGCACAAACAAACAAAACTTCAGCATCTGAAATATATCCAAACTGTCAACCTTCCAAACCGTATGAAACTTAAATAAAAGGCACCATCAGAACCCCAAACAGGAAGTGATGTCACCTTCAGAGGGTTCCCTGAAATCTGTCGTTCCTCCGCGGGGCGGCCCCTCCCTGAAGCGACCTGTTCCTGTGCCTCCTCCTCGTCTGTCGCCGGGACGACTGCCGCCTCCTCGACCCCGCCCCCCCATGTAGTCGTCATCTCTGAAACCTGCAGAGACGGATGGACAGGTGAGTCAGCGTCTACAATCTGACAGGTGAGAATGACTGCAGATGACTGAATGAGAACGAGATGAGAGAAAGGCATGATGGGAGAAAACGGGGGGCTGTCCCTCCAAACAAGTCTGGATCAGAACAAACTGCCTGGAAGAGACGATTTCATGGGTGTGACCCACAAACCAAACTCTGCTGCTCAGCCCACAGGTGAGGCTCCATTTAACGGGAAACAAGCTGGGTTTTTACCGACGTACAAACTTCCCTACTTTTTGTGTTTAGTTTAGTTTAATAAAGGGCTCACATTCTGCAGGGAACAGATTTTAACACAACACCAGCCTGCTAATCAAACACCAGGTGGAGCGTCAGGAGAACCTCTACAGAAACATATTTAACGTATACTGCAACAAAAAGATAAAAACTCTGGTCGTCATAAATAAATGTTCAACAAAGCTCTTTGTTTTTTAGTTAAGTCAGAGACAAAGGTCCCTCTGCAGCATTTATTTTGAAGGTCCAACAGCAGAAACCTTTAGGAAACACTGTTTTTGAACTCTGCCCGGTCTCCATGACAACAAACGGAGGTGCAACTCACAAAATGGCGCTCACTTCCCATCATGCAACACAACCTAACTCAGGTATGTTTCTTCACTGAAGCTAATAACCCTGTCAGACGTTTAAATTTGGTACCTTTGGGTCGGTTCCTGTTTGTTTCAGTGAGGCGGCTGCTTCTGATTTAAACTCTTTAAAAAACTCCAACATTTTTCTGTCAGGTCATCTGGACAGTTTCTTTTTTTTGTGCTGAAACGTTTCGTCTTCGATCCGGAAGGCTTCATCAGGGGGATTGTATACCTGGATTATTGAGCATGGACTTTGTTCTTTAAAAAACTGATTTCTGTTTACTTCTAAACACATGGCTTAAATTAAACTTATTTACTTTTTTCAGTCCACAAGACTGATCCTATTACAGCTTTGTAAACATTAAAACTTTACGATTGGACGCTTCTGTGAAACTTCAGAACAAAAACCTGAAACGTTCAGTTTTTTTTGCCGTTGTTTCCTTCAGACGAACAAACTTTCGCCAGATTTCACCGTTCAAACATCATCCTGCTCTCTGATTGGCTGCAGCCCAGCCAGCAGGGCTCTGATTGGCTGCAGCCCAGCCAGCAGGGCTCTGATTGGCCGGCTGAATTCTCTGAGCCCACCTCCTCCTGGCTGGTCGTAGAACTCTTCTCGGGAGTCCCGTCCTCCTCCTCCTCCTCCTCCTCCTCGGGGAGCTCCTCGAGAGCCTCCTCCTCGTCCTGCAGGCGATATGGGAGTTTTACACTGAGAGGAAGAGGAGGGAAAGAAGCAGGTGGAAAGAGGAAAGAACGAGAAAGAGGAGGAAGTAAGGAGAAGAGAGGAAATGAGAGAGAAGGAGAAACACAGAGGGGAGAAGAGGGAGTAGAAGAAAGGAGGAAAAAGAAGGGAGGAAAGAGAGAGGAGGGATACCAAGGAGCAGAAAAACCAACAAGGAAGAGGAGGAGGCACCTCCTACTACAAGGAGCAGGGGCAGCAGAAAGGAGGCGGAGCTTGTTAGTGTTCCATCAGCCAATCAGAGCAGGCGTTAGAAAGCAGCAGATCTGAACAGAACCAGAACCCGTTAGACTCAAGAGGAAGGAGGTGAGGATGAGGTGAAGGATGAAGACTTCTCCTCCTCAGACAAACCTGATCATCACAGTGCAAAAGTTTTAATCCAGTCCTCATCTCTTCAGACTTTCCTTCCTGAAATCCTTGGGGCGGTCCAGATCAGGAGTTCTCATGATGTTCTGAAAGTCCGTCAGAACGTCTGAAGAACTGTTGATATGGACCACTTCAGAAGATTCCAGGAAGATCTGGATTGTTGAAAATAAAAAGAACAAGGACTGGATCAGGACTTTCCAGAACAGTACAGATGATTAATATAAGCTGGAGTCAAGACCAGGATCAGAACCACGGAGTCAAGACCAGGATCAGACTCACAAAGCTGGATCCAGACCACGTCAGTGATTGTTTAAAAAAAACTGGGACGTTCAGTTAGAATTTAAATATTTAGTTTTCGTTTCTTCAGCCAAGTTCTGACAGAAGTGTGTTTTGTGTAAATAAAAACAGAATTAATAATTCACAAAGCCATGAACAATATTTTATTTACAACAGAACGAATCAAACAAACCAAGTGTTGAAAGTAAGAAACTGTTCCATTTTTAGGAAAAGAAGTTTATATTAAATCTGGTGGAAGCAACACGTCTTTAAAGAGGCTGTAAACAGTGAGAGGTCAGAACGAGCTGGAGCAACATTTAATAACTTCTTCTTCTTTCAGCTTTTCCCTCTTCAGATGGCTCCACAGCGAGTTGTCCTCCTCCATCTCACTCTGTCCTCTCTCCATCCTTGTCACTCCTAAGAAGAACCTCATCATTTTCATTTCTGCCACTTCCAGTTCTGTCTCCTGTCTTTGTGTCCATGTCTCTGTCTCCAGATCATACAACACAGCTGGTCTCACCACTGTCTTGTAAACTTTTCCTTTGACCTTTGCCGACACACTTTTTTCGCAAATCACTCCTGAACCTTTTCTCCTCCACTCCATCCTGCCTGGACTCTCTTCTTCACCTCTTCATCACACTTCCCATTTTCCTGCACAGTGGACCCCAAGTCCACGAAGTCCTGCACCTTTGTGACCTCTGCTCCTTGTAGACTCACTGTTCCACCTCCTCCTTCTCATTCACACACATGGACTCTGTCGTACTACGGCTGACTTTCATTCTTCTTCTTTCAAGTGCATACCTCCACCTCTCCAAGTTCTCTTCCACCTGTTCCCTGTTCTCACCACAGATCACAATGTCATCTGCAAACATCATAGTCCACAGGGATTCCTGCCTGACCTCATCTACCATGTTGTTGTTTACTATATTTCTTTATCACTTTTTGATACTTTATTTTGTACTCTTATTACATGCTTTATTATTTCTTGTCTGTTTTTAGCGAGTCAAATCAATTCTTCTCATCCTGAACATTTCATTGCACTGTTGACCTGCATCAACAAAATCTGTTAGTCGGTCCATCACCAGAGCAAACAAGAAGGGGCTCAGAGCCGATCCTTGATGCACTCCCACCTCCACCTTGAAGCTATCTCACCCCTACAGCACATCTCACCACTGTCCTGCTGTCCTTACATGTCCTGTACCAGTATAACATAGTTCTCTGCCACTCCAGATTTCCTCATGCAACACCACACCTTCTCCCTCGGCACCCTATCATATACTTTTTTTTTAAATCCGCAAAGACACAATGGAGTTTTTTCTGACCCACTCTGTACTTCTCCATCAGCATCTTCAAAACAAAGATGGCATCTGTGGTGCTCTATCTCCGTATGGTATGAAACCATACTGCTGCTCACAAATATTCATCTAAAGACAAAGAAGATAAAACATTTAGAGAGGCTGAATCTGTCAGAAGTAAAGATGGGCAGAGGATCAGCAGTCTGTCTAAAACTAGTGGAAGACTTTCAGAATAAAGTTCCTGAACGAAAGACTTTGAATCTCCATCATGTCCAGTTTATAATCTCATCAACAGATTAGAAGAATCTGTAGAAACCTCTGAGCTCAAAGGACGAGTTTCTACCGAGTCAAAATTGGATGGTTGTGATCTTCGGGCCCTCAGGGGCCACTGCATTAAAGCCAGGTCAGGTTCTGGACATTCACTGCATGGGATCAGGAACGCCTCCACAGACCACTGTCTGTAAACACAGAACATCGTGTCATCCACAGATGCTGCTCAAAGCCCCATCAGGCAAAGAAGTCGTACGTAAACACCACCCAGAACCACCGTCACCTTCTCAGGATCAAAGCTCGTTTTAAATGGACTGAGGCACAGAACTGTTCTGTGGCCTGACAGGTCCAAATGTGAGGCTCTGTTTGGAAACCATGGCCTCCATACTAATGACGAGAGGGACCATCCAGCCCGTTATCAACTCACAGCTCAAAAGCCTGCCTCTCTGATGATATGGGGGTGCATTCGTGCCTCTGGCATCATGAGCAACTTACACATCTGGAAAGACTCCAGCAATGCAGAAAAACATCTACAGGTTTTAGAACATCTGCTCCCATCCAGCAGAGAAGATCCAGGAAGGATGAACAGCTAGAATCCTCCAACAACTGGTCTCCTCACGTCCTCCTTAGGTCCTGGACAGACTGTTGGACCTGGAGCAACTTTAAACAGACGTGTTGATGCCATCAGGTTCTTAATGACCTGAATCTTCCTGAAAATGGAACATCTGCGTAGCTTCAACATTTGATCTGTTTGTTTTTTTATGAACTGTGTGTGAGATTTGTAAATCCTTGATTGTGTTTTTATTTATGTCTTACATCATGACCCAAGTTGGGTCAGAATCAGGAAGTCACTACTGGACCATGTGGAGCATGCTGTTCGTTGAGCGGACTCACCGCTTCTTCGGGTTTCTGTAAAAGCCCGATGTGACACAAACAGAACCGCATCGTCTGAACCCAGCTCTGAGATCCTCGGACCGACCCGTCCGTGGTTACAGTTCCTACCTCTACCTTCATCTTTCCTGAATCCGAAGCCGGCGCCTCCTCGCTCTTGCCTCCGTCCCTCCGCGATGTCCACCCTCAGCGACCTTTCACCTAATTGCTGCAGAGGTCAAAGTTCAGGTTGAGCTCAACCATACTGGAATGGTTCAGTTTGAGACGTGCAGCGGTTTTTAATAATCGGATACTTACAGCGCCGTCATACGTCAAAGCTTCTTTTAGAGACTCCAAATCATCAAACTCAACATAACAAAAACCTGAAAGAGACAAAAACAGATTTACACTTTAGTTTACTCCTCAGGACGGCTGGAGCTCATCGAGTCGCAGGGCCAGGTTTTAACCTGAACACACACAGAGGAGCAAACGAGACGCTTTCAGGAAGAATACGCAGCATTGTTAAAGGGATAGTTTGGTTATTTGAGGTGGAGTCCTGTGGCAACATTATGAATGGTGTAAAGGTCTTCACTGCAAAGTGTAAACTCGGATATAAACGGTTTCCTCTGAACTGGATCAGATGGAGCAGTTTGAGTTTACTCTGGTAGTTCACCTCATATACTCGCATGTAATTCTGAAATGCAGGTCTGTCACGATGACACATTTTGCTGGGCGATTGTCTAAAAAATTATTGCGATAAACGATAATGTTGTTTGAAATTTGACAATAATTTGTAATTATTGTCAAATTTAAGAAGAAATGTTGGTTAATTTTTGTATGTAGTACCTTTTGTGACCACCAGATGGCAGTATAAGACTGTTTGAAGCGAAGGATGGAAAGTGAGGGAGCGAGCAGCGTGACTCTTAAGAAAAATGGGAAGGAGGCCCCTTGACATGACATGGGCTGTCTCTCCTTCCTCTTTTTCAGATCTCAAACTGGTGGACGCTCGGTGTGATTTGAGCTCTTTAGCATTTTTCACACAAAGCTTTTAATAAAAAATCAGTAAACAAGTTCTCAGCTTCTTTTTGCAGAAAAACAACTTTTTACACGAAGGTGCGGGTTTCAACCGTGAATTTTGGAACTTCGATAAGACAGCAGTACTGCTACAAGTGTAGCCACCAACGTTTTTAAACATGCAGGAGTAACTCCGTTAATTAAAAAACCTGGACCCTTCAACTTGTTCAAACTTCAGAACAATCTCAAAACTTCCCTTTCTTTCTAAAGACTTGGAGAAAATAGTTTTCATTCAACTAAACAATTTTTTGAACAGGAGAACTTCTGTTTCTTCATTTCCTCCCGGGGTGTTTATTATGGGTGTGTTCTACTGGGTCCAGAAGCAGGACTTGGGTTTCTGGTGTCCCTGTGACTGGAGCTCCTTTGACCCGCTGACCTTTGAACTTGTCTGTCTCTTTGTCTCGGACCAGTCGCACGCTGCGGATGCTGAGCTCTTTGAAGATGAGGTCGATGTCGCCCTGCACCGTGTTGAAGGGCAGGTTCCCCACGTACGCCGTGAACGGAGGCTCCGTGGGCAACTCCTTCTGCTTCCTGGGGCCTCCGGAGCCGCCGCCGCCACGGGGCCTGAGGGGCAAGAGACGGAGCAGAGGTCAGTTCATTCGTTCATCAGGGCTCAAACTGAAACAGGAAACAAACTACAAACAGTACAGTCATTAGAAATTCAGCTGAGAAAAAAAAACCTAATCAGAACCTCATCGGTCCAAAAACCTATTTGTAAAACAAAACCATCAGTTTAATCTAGTAGTTCTCAAACAGTGGGGCACAACTCCAAGGGGGTGCTGGGGCTATGCTTCTTTTTTTTTTTTTTGGGGGGGGGGGGGGGGGGGGGGGGCAACATCGCTGAATGTTTTTTCTTGTCTCAGTTCAGAACATGCAGCAGGCGGGAATAAAGTTGCAACACCTCGTTGTAGCCCAAACCCATTTTAGAGACGCACAAAACAAGAAATCTGTTTCTATTTTTAATTTTCTGTGTGTAGTTGGGAAAACAGAGGTGAGTTATTTTAATCTGAAGGATTATTAAACTGAGTTCATTCAGGTTTTAATAAATAAACAAGGAAGACGACGCCTCACAGTAAATGTGTTGAAGCTCCATGTCAACCCAGCTGAGGTGGCTCAAAAACCTCACAAAGTTCTGTGAGAAGATCAGATTCACCCGACTGTTGTCAAAAATATCTGCAGAGCTCAGGATTACACAGAACCACAGACAGAACCTCACACAGAACCTCAGGCAGGACCACTGTTCACTGACAGAACGTTTGGCAGAACCACAGACCACTGACAGAACCTCAGGCAGAACTACTGACCACTGATAGAACCCCAGACAAAACCTCAGGCAGAACCACTGTCCACTGACAGAACCTCAGGCAGAACTACAGACCACTGACAGAACTATTGGTCACTGACAGAACCTCAGACAGAACTACAGACCACTGACAGAACCACAGGCAGAACCATTGGTCACTGACAGAACCTCAGACAGAACTACAGACCACTGACAGAACCTCAGACAGAACCACTGATTGTGACAGAACCTGTAAAAAATGTGTTTGAAGAAGCAACAAATGAAAAAACTAAAGTAACTTCCTGTAATTCAGGACATCAAACAGAAAACCTTTAAACCTGTTAAAGCCTGAGTCAACTTCACAGGTTTATGAATTTGTTTGTACCTAAACAGGTAATATGACAAATCGCGCACACACACATGCACAATGTCACAACAAAGTATCTACAAAGGGTAAGGTAGGTCCTGAAGAACAAAGTCCGGGTCATCAACACTTGCAGTGGTGGTCATCATCAGATACTCAGCTGGTATAACAGCCTGGCCAAAGGAGGAGAAAGAAGCCACTGACATCAAGACTCAAAAGCTCCTCAATGCATGGAGGGTTTCACCCCAAGTCCAGCACCCTGATACTATGAAACTAAAGTCACTTTGCCATTGATAAGTGCAACCCCACTCGGCTCGTGCCTTCTCGGTTCTTCTCAGGTGTAAGTTGTTTGCCTTGTGACTTGTTTCCCTGCTTTGTGGGCAGGATCATAAATGGTCTTTTTGTGTTCGAACCACTCCGCCCGTTATGGTCCTCAACCACCCTATAATAGGACTTCCAATTTCTTTAACGTATCCCTGCACTGCTTATAAGTTCAGGTGCAAACCAGCAGAAACAAGACTCACTCAACACAGACAGAGGAAATGGAGGTGCAGATGTCGTATTGCTGGGCGATCATCCAGTGACGTAGCTCCGCTGGCCAATGAACGGCTGCTGCCTGCTTACATCAAAATTGTCATCTCGGAGGAGTTCACTTGGAACCACCAGCAAGTTGGTCCCATAAACTGGGCTGAGTGGGGGTGGGTACCAGCAGTGGGCAAGCCCTTAACTGGTCCCGTGTGAGGTGGAACTGATGAGGGTTCAGACAGTGGTAAAGGACCTTAAGAGAAAGGACGGTGGCAGAGGACTAGTGCGCATCTGAGCCACTATACATGAAACAACCCAGATACTGGAGTACATAAGAAGGATAGTCCCCATTGATGATTTGAAGAATGAATGTCTCAGGCAGCAGCAGAAACCCAATGTGGAAGAGGAGGAACAAGAGGAGCCATCATGGAAAGATAAGCCCCTGCATGGCAGATTAAGGAAGTAGTTGATAACAACAAATCTTACCAGTGGCTAGAGAGAGCTGGACTGAAGGACAGAACAGAGGCACTAATCATTTCAGCACAAGAACAGGCGCTCAGAACAAGAGCAGCAGAGACTGGGGGGTCCACCATACCAGAGAAGAGCCAAGATGCAGGCTGTGCAAAGATGCTCCTGAGACAGCAGGATGTCAGATCCAGACAGGCAAAGCACACATGGAGCGCCATAACCAAGTGGCTGGAATAATATACAGGAACATCTGTGCCGAGTATGGACTGGAGGTCCCACAGGCAAAGTGGAAGACTTGGAGAACGGGAGGGCTAAGATACTGTGGGACTTCCAGATCCAGACCGACAAACAGGTGATGATAGCCAACATTGTGGTGGTCAACAAGCTACAAAAGAAGGCAGTGGTGACAGATGTAGCAATTCCAAGTGACTGTAACATCAGGAAGGAGGAGCTTCAGAAATACCATGGGCTGAAAGGAAATACAGAAGTTGTGGAGAGTCAAGGCGTCAGTGGTCCCAGTGGTCGTTGGAGCACTTGGTGCTGTGACGCCAAACTGGGAGAGCGTCTCCAACAGATCCCAGGAACAACCTCAGAGGTCTCTGTCCAGAAGAGCAGTCCTAGGAACAGCTAAGATACTGAACAGAACCTCACACTCCCAGGCATCTGGCAAAGGACCTGAGGTTGATGTGAAGTGGAACCGAGCTGGGTGTGCACATTTTAAAGTCCGTAACTCGTTCTCCGAAGAGTAAATGTTTTTAACCACATGTTGGTTCTAGTAACTTCCAACACAACAGGACGCTGATTCTGTAAATAGAAAATGTGACGAAAGCTTCAAGGCTGGACCAACTTCTGACTGACAGTCGATGTAAAGGACACTCGGCACCTACAGAACATGAGTTCATCTGGTCACATGGGTCTGTGCATGTGCTCGCACTTTAACGTGTTACTGAAGCACGAGGTGCTTCCACCGGCAGGTCCAAACACACAGTGGACCAAACACAACCCATCTACAAGAACGGACTCCATCACTGCACGAGCGTGCACACACCTGCACGAGCGTGCACGCTCCATATGAACTTCCTTCAGACATTTTTTCTAAAAGTATCAAACAAGTCAAATCACTTCTTTATATTTCTGTTTCTAATCATCACTGTGGTGAAAGTAACAGGAGTATTAAAGCTCTGAGGTCAAATTTAGATCAACTTTTTTGTTGTAGTTTAAATATTTTTGTTGTAGTTTAAATATTTTTGTTGTAGTTTAAATATTTTCCCATAGAAGAACAAGTACTGATGGGGAAAGTTAACCTGAAACAGCTTTAAAAAGCAAAAAAAAAAAAAACAGGAAAACTCCAAATCTGTCACTGTTTCCATCTATTAATAAAATATATTTTTTAAATATCTGTACTGGGTTTCAGTTTACATGCTTGTGACAAATGAGTCAACATTAATCATAAAAAGCTCAGATATTCTGAGTAGGTAAAAAAAAAACCTGAATCTTCCTGTGAGGACCTGCTGGATCCTGCAGAACGTGAACCGGTTCCACTGCCGGACCAGAAACACTGAACCCAGTAAACCCCATCAGAACCAAGCGATCTGTCTGACCTGACCACCTATCAGAACAACTCAATCAGTAACAATCAGACTGATCGATCCGCAGCCTCTCGTCTTTCTGTGGATGGATGCGCAGACACATGATGCAGCCATGCGGGCAGTCCGCAGCTCCACTCCACCTGCTGGTTCCGCCTCTCACCGGTACCGGAACGTTACAATAAACCCCAAGCGGAACCATGTTGTTTTGCAGCGGAGCACCGGGCCGATCCGCGCCGCGGTTCTGTCACGGGTGTGTTCGCGGCTCGCTCCGGGATCCCCGATGTTTCCCAGAAACGTTCGCCGGCCTCCCCTCACCCGAGCACGGCCCGGTCTGAATGCGCGGAGGCGGCCGAGTTCCGGGGCCTCACCGCCCGGCCCTGAAGCCTCGGCGCGGCCGGCAGCGAGTAACGAGAAGTCGGTTCGAAGCGGGGACTCACCCTCGGCCGCCGCCGAAGCTGCTATAGGCCCGATCATCGTAGTCCGCCATTACTGCTGTTGAGTCCGAGAGGAAGGAGGTCCTCACGTCACACGCAGAGCGGGATTAGGTGCCCGCAGAGCGCCTGACCGGGAACCGCCACAAAAATTTATATTAAGAAAATACAAATAAAAATTTAAAATGTTACCTGGAACATCAGCCACCAAAAAACAAGAAGAAAAATAAGTAAAAAGAAAGGTGTGTGTACACACATATATATATATATATATATATATATATATATATCTTTATATGCATAAAACTCATTTTTTTTTTTTTTATGCATAAAACTCATTTAATAACAATATTTACCTAATATTGTAAATATTTATGTGCAAAAGTTTAGTTTGGGAAGTATTGAGACTAACCTGGATAAATAAAGGCTAAATGAAAAAAAAAATAAAAAAATAAATATAACAACAAATTACAATCAGAAAATCTATAACATCAAACCTAACAGATTTAGAATGAATTAAATTTCGTTTTAATTAGGTGTACCGCTACTTGTATGTGATTTACAGATATTTTGCCCAGATAATTTAAGAATGCTCTTTGAGCTTCTAAATGACTGCATTGTGGCCTGTGAGGGGAGTGGTGGCGCAGAGGTTAGAGAAGATGGGCCTGTTATCGGAAAGCTGCAGGTTTAACTCCCCGGACCGACAATATCAAAATGTGGGTGGAAAAGGTGAAACAGAACACCTGCCTCCACCCTCACTTACCCACTCTGGGCCCCTGAGCAAGGCCCCTAACCCCCATCATCTGCTCCCCAAAAAACTGGTCTCTCTTGAAAATGAGTTCTCATGACTCATTGAGACTACCTGTATAAATAAAGGGTAAATAAATAGAAAAAAAATGTTCTTGGCCTACTTGGTGCCTACATAAATTGCATAAGTGTGTTACATGCATTGAAGAGTACAAATATTATTAAAGTGATCAAGTAAAATACTAATGGGGCTTGTCATATTGTACCCATTTATACTATGACTTTAGAGTCCTGGTTTCTCTTGTACCACAACATTCTCTACTTTTTAACCAGATGCCGTTATTCTGGTTTATGGCACTACGTGTTACATTGCATAGTCATTGAAAGTCTCTAGCCAATTCTAAACAAAGTGGATTGTGTTTGTGTATAAATTCCACATTATTAAAAAAATAAAAATAATCTGGATCAGACTCTCGTCAATCACGAGGCAGTACACTGGGTCAGCTCAGTTATGACTAACTTGGTTGCAGTCACGGTTGACTTGGACCAGGGGTCTGGAACCTGCAGCTCTTTGGTCCGTCTGCAGAGGCTGTTTGAAGCTTTGACCAAAATTAAAATAAAACTCAATTTTATTGATTGTTATTCAAACGACAATAAAAAGGGACTAGTTTTAGCAGTTTTCCCGTCATTTCTTTTGCAAATATGTGAATACTGGACCATGTACAAGGAGTAAAACATGCTCACTTTAACTTTATGCTTTATTTCTATTCTTAATTTTTCCACATTTAAAAAAAACATAGGTCTGCATAGTTCATAGTTTTTATTAACTACCCCCACCCCCCAAGAATCTGGTCTTTTCATTTGTATATATATATATATATATATATATATATATTTATGTATAACTCATGGGGACATTTTCAGTGTCTGCACACTAGAGGCTCAGAGATGTAGGTGCAGGGTTTGGCCAGTCCATGTTTTATGTCACAAACTGTCTTTTACAGTTCTGTATCCAAATGTCAACAACAGAAGAGTTGGCTCTAACCAGTTCTGACCCCTGACCTTTACAACTGAGAACAATGTCAAACTCAAAAATGCTGGTGTACAAATCAGATTTAGAGATGATTTACTGATGCTTTTATTTTAATTTGTTTACTACGACAAACATTTTTTTCTATACTTCTCAGTAAGAGGCCTTGATCAGCACATTGTGTTAATAATTTACAGAATACTCCCGTTTGACTGTTTATTCTTTCTTACCAGTTAATTACAAAAATGACCTAATCACAAACATTTAAAAAGCTTAAGTTTAAACCACCAGTTACTCAACAGAAACACTTTGAGACAATCAAACATGAGCTCACATGAGTCTGGGGTAGTGGACCCCGACCTTGATCAGTCCCGTTCAGGCCCTGTCACTGTTGTTTCTGCATTAGTTATTGGGGCATCAGGTTCTGTGTGCACTAAAAAGGGTTCAGTTCACCTCCAGACTCAAATCTGAAGGAGTTGTGAACTTTCTCAGCTGAAATGTCCTGATCTGGATGGTTTTTTTATCTAAAATCCTTTGGCATTTGTAATAAAACCTGAAAACATTTTAATTCAATTCAGTTTATTTATATCGCGCCAATCCACAACACAAGTCGTCTCAGGGCACAGAATCATTCACATACATAAAACTTAGTTAATAACAATATTTACCTAATTTTGTAAATATTTATGTGCAAAAGTTGAGTTTGAGAAGTATTTTTAAAAAATTTGCTTAAGCACCTATCATTTGTAAAATAAAATGAAATTCTGTATTTTCGTGCCACGTTCATTATTTTACAGAAAATTTTGACATTTTGGGAACAACAAAAAAAAAGTTATTTCCCTTTCCAGTAATTATAAATGATATTTAAAATGTGTAAACTTTGTCGTCAGTAACCGGATGCTCAGTCAGAGCATTTATGAAACAGTAACTTCAGTGACACATGGGTAGTGTAAATAAACAGAACCTGAAACTTAAAAAATGAACAGTTGTACAATAATAAAAAGTTTCTTAAAAGACATCTGCGAACATAAAAAAAATAAAACTTTGAATGACCCATTAAACCTCTGAACATCACTCCTGCAGCTCGGTTCAGATTGACTGTCTGAGGTCGTTTCTCCAACAAAGCTCCAGGTTGAGTTCAAGGAATAAAGAGGAGCGACCTTCAAATGGCCCCGCCCACCTTTGGGAGAAACCACAGACCTTCACAAAGAATATCAGAAGCTCTTGCAGATGTCTCACAATGGTCATATTTAAATAATTGTAAAGTCAGGTGGCTGTGGTCCACCAGATCTTCCAGTATCAGTCTTTGGTCCAGTGGAGATTCAGGTCTCAGTCAGGGTCATGTCGACACCGGAGCTTCAGGTCAGGAGCTGCCTGTTGGACTGGTTTCTTCTGGGATGTCCTGAAGGTCGTTCGGTGGAGGAGAGTCTCTCTGCTGTGGTGAGCTTCTGGATCCACGTAGCCGCAGGTCATCTGACAGGACATCCTTGTCACCTGGAATCACGGTTTTCCCCAAAGACTAGAAGCACAGAACAAACCAAAATACCTCAGAAAGTAAAATGTGTTGATCATTTATAGAAATGAGGCCTCAAGAAACTTTGAAGTGTTTGAAAGTTTTGTTTTTGTACCTGATTCTCAGCCAAAGCCTCTTTAGCCATATAGTGTTCCCTTTTCATCTTCATCTCCACCTCCTCAGGGATGTCTGGAACCATTATGTCAATTAGGCGGCCAATGAAGAAGACCACATGCTGAGGAAGAACCACGGTAAAACCCTTCATCACTTTAGAGAAAGATCCCAGCACATGAACCTTAACTCCTCCATCCACGTCCTTCAGAAGACAAAAGCAGCTTCAGAACAAAGACTGACCTCAAAGATGATGATGAAACTGAGTCGTATGGCGAGAAGGTGAAAGTACTCTGGCAGGAATTCACCTTTCTCGTTCCTTAAACCCAGATACCTGCAGAGGGTGACGACAAAGGACAAATCCAGAACCCGGAGGAGTTTTAAAAGATTTTTTTTCTGTTCACCAATAACAAGAAGTTACCTGCAGGACGTGTTGTGGTCCTGGTGGGTGTGGCTCTGTGGTGATGTAGCCAGGGTGAAGTTAATGTAGCCGCTCAGGGTGCTGTTTTGGGTGTAGCGGTAGTACAGGCGAGGCACAAAGGACGAGGTGAACGCGATGAGAAAAGACTAGAAATACGAGTTGGGAAAAGTTCAGATCATTTTATTTGCATCATTATCGACTAACACGACAGAGATTAGAGAGTTACGTTGCTGAGCACAGCTGTGTGGGTGATGAACTGCAGGATGGAAAACCAGATGCCGATGTCCTGAGCTCGCTCCACCACCGGGCGGCGATATTCTGTCACAAACTTCTGAGCATCCAAACGAATCTCCACCCAGTTGTTGATGAGGGCGAAGAGAGGAGCAAGAGGACATGCTGCCACGAAGATGGTGATGAATCCAAACTGAAGCACTGAAGGCAGCAAGAACACGTTTTTATATGAAACTGAATGCTCCAGATCACAGCTTTGTCTGCAAAACGTTCACCAGAATGGTAGATCACATGTTTAGCACTGATCCATCCAAGTTATGAAACAAGATTAATACGTTCATTACAAACAAAAACATCAAATGTCTTTGATGTGGGGTTCATTCTGCCAGGAGAACCGTAAAGTCAGAACATCACAATATAACTTTTATCTAGGCAGCATGATGGATCAGTGGTTAGCACTGTTGCTTCACAGCAAGAAGGTCCTGGGTTCAATCCCCAGTTGGACCTGGGGTCTTTCTGTGTGGAGTTTGCATGTTCTTCTTGTGCTTGCGTGGGTTTTCTCCGGGTACTCTGGTTTCCTCCCACAGATCAAAAACATGCATGTTAGCCTTCAGGCCCAGGCCTTCCTTGCAAAAGAGATCTGTGATCTCAATGGGATCTGCCTGGTTACATAAAGCGGAATAAAATCTGAATCAAGTATTTCATCACCATAAAAAAAAAACTCTAAAACAATACTGATAAAGAAGTGGCTAAAATGAATTAGAGAAACTGCGTTTCCTGCAAAAAGGCAGCGTGAATGCTTGTTGCTGAAAGCTGCTGAACAAGATTGCGCTTATTGGAAACATAACAATGCTTGAACACTAGAAAGAAAAGGCCGAAAGGAGCAAGAAAGGCTAAAATTATCTAAAAGTAGCTGATTGAAAAACTGAAATTAGCAAACGGAAGCTAACAGTAGCAGAAACGTGCTAAAATTAGCAATAAAGGAAGCTGAAAAGAGTGTAAAAAGCCTGAATTACCAAAAAAAGAAGGTTAACAGAGCAGAAACAGTTCAAATGAGCAGAAAATCAGCTGAAAGTACCTAAAATATGCAAAAAAGGCTGAAAATAGAAAAAGACCGAACAAGCACAACAACTAAAATAGGCATAAAAATGTTGATAAGAGCACATAAAAGCTAAAACTAGCTCAAAAGTAGCCAAAAAGCTAAATTTGAATATAGCTGAAATATAGCTGAGAAAGCAGAAAAAAGCTGAAATTAATCAAAAGAAGCTAAAATTTACAGAAAGAGCTGAAAGGAGCGGGGAATTTTTTTTAAAAAAGTGCTGAAAAATGCTGAAAATAGCAGTTGCAAACAGAAGAACCAGAACAAAAGCTGAAATGAGCAATAACAGGTTGTGAACAGCACAAAAGGTTTGAATGACGTGAAGAGAGCTTCTTTTGTTTTCAATGAGGAAAAACATGGCTGAAAAAGCTAAATATTTCAAAAAGAAAAATTGCATAAATACCAAAAGTGACAGGAGGATTGTCCTGACTGAGCTGAATGTTTTAATATATGAACTGTTAAAAAAAAAAAAAAGGTGGAAAAAGTGCTGAAAAACAATAAAAAAAAAAATGGTTCTCAGTGTGAAAACTTTCAAAACATTCACACAATTACACTTTGCCCCCTCCAACTACTGAGACAAAACAAAGAAATGGTTTAAGTGGTTTAAAACCAACAGAAACCGACCCACCCATCTCTAGATATTCACTGAAGAGTCCCTCACAGACCAGCAGCTGGTAATCCGCCTCCCAAGGAGTGACTTCCTCACACCTCAGAGACTCCTCTCCCACCTCGGACTTCTGTTTCTTTAACTGAGGACTCATCTTCCTCTTCTGCCACCAGGCCATTACCTTCCTGCCAGAAAAATAAAGTCCTGATGTTCAGTTTAATTCAGGAGAAATTACTGTTAGATCTAAATAAAAACCTCAGCTTCAAACGTTTTCGCTCAGTCCCGGTTAAATTCAGAACTGGAGCCCAATCTCATTACCACAATAAAACAATTGATTGTTTTTTTAAATACATTTTTAGATTTCCTATCATAAATGTAAATTTCAATGAGTCTGCTTTGAAGAAAGGCCACTACATAAAAAATTGACCCCCCAAAAAAGTCCTCGTCTTTTCCTGGACCTTATTTTATGCAGTAAATCATAAAATCCTACTGTGAAGTCTCTGAAGATTCAAATCCATCATTTTAGTTGTGTTTTGACACTATTAGATGTTGTTTTAAGGAATCAATAAAAATCATCCCATCCCATTTCCACAGGGGTTCCACAAGGCTCAATCTTTGGATCCCTTCATTTTTAAGTACACACCTCCTCCTTGCATGTGGTTATCCACTCACATGACTTCTTGTAACAGTAACACAGAGATCATCCTAATCAGTCAATTCATCAGATAATTAACTGATACCAACAACTTGCTTTGTAACAACTTCCTGCAGCACACAGAAGTTGAGGATGTAGTTTCTCTCCAAATTATATTGCAGAAAATTATTTATTTTATGTCTGAGTTTGTTGCGACTCCTCAGACTGATGAAGTCTTTTGGATGAAAGACGAAACGTTTCAACACAAAGAAACTGTCCAGAGGAACTGACTGAACTTTGTTGGATTTTTTTACCTGGATTATTGATCATGAACTTTGATGTTTATGTCTAAGTGTTTAACCAGAATGTCACGTGACTTCCTTTTTTGTCTCCAGAAAACATTTCACCTCTCAGACGTCTTCAATTTGGAAAAGAGGTGAGTTGTAAAAATCAAGAGAAGTCCAGTTCCCCTTCAGGCCCCTTCATGACCTGAATGTAATCTAGACCAACTCATTACTATCCCACTTCATTCATGTAGACTGAAGATAAATTGAGTTCTACAAACAAGTCTTTATTTTTCCCCAAAGAAGGAGGAACGGTTGTTGCTGTTTGTATCTCTTCTATGCAGATGATACTTGACTGTATCCAGCAGTCTTATGTGATCATCCTATGGTTTCAGCAAGAATCTCAGATGATCTTTCAGAGGAGTCCTTCGCCCCACTTTCATCTGACACCCCCGAGACTGAACGATGGATAATCCCAGTCCATTAGTCCACCTGACTCCCTCAGTTTAGATTGTGGTTTTCTCTCCGCTCAACTGCTGTTGTCTCCCAGCATACACAGAGAAACCCAACAGATGGTCTAGAACATATGTCAAAATCAAGGCCCAGGGGCCAAATGTGGCCCTCGTTGACATCTTATCTGGCCCCCAAGATGTTATTTTAAATGTAAAATATTTTTATCACTTTAATTTTTTTCAATAATATTTAATTATGATGTTGAAAACACAACAGAGAACATCAAATGAAACCAATCAAACTTTTGTTGAGGAACCTGCAACAAAGAAAAAGATGTTTGGTATCTAACTTGAGTTAATATAGATTCTGAAACTGGCCCTTAGTTTGAAAAAGGTTTTAATTTTGACCCCTTTTGTAAGTGGGTTTGACACCCCTGGTCTAGATGTGTTGAAGCATCTGCTGGTCCAGCAACCTAAAAGAACCCATGTCCCTAGATTCCTCAGTGAGCTCCACTGGATTCCCATGGCTGTGTGAATCAGATTCTGGACCAAATGTGGCATACAGAGGGACCTGTGGGTCTGTAACAGGAACTTAAACTCAGTCATAAGGGCTGATGATCCTTCTGGACCTCTGGGTTCTTCTCAGGTCTTTGTCTGCTTCTTCCATTCCTACAAAAATGGTAGTCTCAGTTCAGACTGAACTTATCTGTGGTTCCAGGATGGTAAAGAACCTCCTGTCAGAGCAGGACATCCTTCTGTACCTTTAGAGCAGTGCTTCCCAACCCTGGTCCCTGAGGAACACCACCCTGCACGTTTAGCTGATTCCCTGCTTCAGCACACCTGATTCAGTGATTTAATTTCTTCCTCAAGTTCTGCCAAAGCCTGCTAATCACCAAATCATTCAAATCGGATGCATCAAAGCAAGGAAACAGCTAAAACATGCAGGATGGTATTCCTCAAGGACCAGGGTTGGGAACAACTGCTTTAGAGAACCTCCTAACACACTGGACTAACACTGACTCTGGACTTCTGGACTAGGTCTACTGGGACTCAGTCCTTTAAACGGATTCTGACATATTGCACCGGATCACAGCATCTCCTGAACATTTAAATGAGCACAAACCTTAATAAAGACATGAAATCAGCTCAGCCTGTCTTCTGTTTCTGTTAGCTAAAATCTTCTGAATCACCAGACGTTCAAACACTTTTAGCTTGTTATCAGCTAAATGCCAGCATTAGATGTCAGATCAAAGCTGACTCCAGCCTTTAATTCAGAAAATATCTGACTTTGATCTGACTGTAGCCAATATCTTTTGATATCTTTAAAAGGAATTGTTGATCAAAGGTTGATAAATCTGAAAAAGGTTTGTTCAGTCTTGTGCTTAGGTGTGTGTGTGTTTGTGTGTGTGTGTGTGTGTGTGTGTGTGTGTGTGTGTTGTTTACGGCTGGATGAACTCCTGGATGTTGTTGATCAGCTGTTTTCCCACCATGATGACCAGCAGCTCCTGAGCCAACTCGATTAGACACCCGCCTGCGCCGCACTGCAACACATCACCAAGGTGGATCAGGCTTCAAGAAAATTATATTCTTTTTTTTCTTTTAATTGATAAATTAATTGAATTAAGAGATGGAGAGTTGCCAATAAAACCAGGTCAAGTTCATTTGAGTTTGGTATGTCAGAATGTTTGAAGGTTTTATCATCATCTTCTTTTAAAGTGTTTTAGGGCAGGGCTTCCCAAACTTTTCCATGCCATGGCCCCCAAACAGCATTAGCTTCTGGCGTGGCCCCCCCTCGAAAACCCACAAACAAAGCTACAAAATATGTAAAGAAACATCAACTTTTATAATGTTTTAACTTTATTCACTATATTCAATTATTACAGCTGCTGAGCATAAAAATATTATTAACTAACATGTTTTAAACACTGTATTATATTCCCACTGAAAAAAAACCCCAACAACTTTTCAACAAACTGTTGCCCAGAAGAACAAAACAAAAGAAATTTATCCTCTCTCTCAAGCGTGTTTATCTGGAAATGACATATACAGATTGCTCTAGTGGGCAATTATTATTATTATTATTATTAATACTTTTTATTTTTGCTGTTTTTAAAAATCTTCTTCTCTCCAGCTTTCAGGGGCACCCAAAGTGCCCCTGGCGGCCCCCCAGGGGGCCACGGCCACCACTTTGAAAAACACTGTTTTAGAGAACATTAAACGCTGCACGGCTCTTAATATTTATAAACTACTAATGTCCAAACAGTCTAATCCTCTCCTTAAATTACATAATTTCTTCATTTGACATCCAGTGATAAACATATTTACGGTTTCCTTTATAAAACTAAAATTCTGTTGTTGTTTTTTTGTGAAAGAAACATTTAATTTCTTCATCAGTAGCTGAGGGGCAAACTCACATCTTCATTGCGAATTCCAAACAGAGTGTTGTAGTGTCCAGGGAAACCAACAAACCTGAAGAGACACAAACGAACATGCTGACAGAAACACAGACTAATTTATATTTAGTAAAACCACAAAAAAAGAAGAATCAAAGCCACAAATATAACAACAGTCTGAGCGCACTCCCTCTTTGAAAAAGACTAAAAATGTGTTCTGCTGATGAACCTGAGGCCTGTTTTGATTCTCACCTGCCTTTGAAGAAGGCGATGTAAACCGGAGAGGAGTAGAAGTTCACGAACTGGAAGATGAAAACTTTGAGGATGAACATGTCTTCGTATTTGGTTTGAGTGCGATGCATCTCTGACAGAAAACACAGTTTACTCTCAACTCGCTGGGCGTGCAATAAATCCACTCAGAAGAAACGATTCTGGGCAAAAAAACTTAAAAGCTTCAAACATTCTGACTCCACTGACCAGTTTGTTTGAAGGTTCAAGGTTCTTTATTGTCATTTGCATCACATGTGGTACATGAGGTGGAACAAAATTGTGTACACAGAGTCCCAGTTACACCCAAAAATGGCAAAAATATAAAAAAGAAACAGTATACAAGGATCTAAGATAGACGCTAAACAATAATATAATGAACAGCAGCCTGAACATGAGTCTGTTGTGAGCAGATGGGAATGAATATAACAGCTTAAAGGCAAGAAATCAGCAGCATGGATAATCAGCAGGACAAAGTCTTAAATCTCAAATTAAAGTGTTGTTACAGTGATTTTTCTGGTTAGAGATTTATGAGTCTAACATCTTCAGGGTAGAAGCTTTTCCTCAGTCTAGTGGTTCTACAGTTAATGCTCCTCAACCTTCTGCCTGAGGGGAGCAGGGCAAAAAGTGTGTGTGCTGGGTGAGTGGGGTCCTTCATGATGCAGGTGGCCCTCTTCCTGCATCTGGATGGCTGTGATGGTGAGGAGGCTAACTCCAACAGTCTTCAACTGAAGGTTTTATTGAAAACTTTATGGAAAAGACCATTTTGTTCTCTTCAGAATCAGAATCAGAATAAGCTTTATTATCATTGCACTGAAGTGCAGCGAGATTATATTCCATACATTTGCCCAAAAGATGGGCGGAGTGTACGTGGCTGCAGCTCGTAGGAGCACAGCCCCTTATTCTTTAGATAGAAAAGGGGAAAGAACGTGAGGATAGGACTTCATGTCCTGATGCACCATGTCAGGTAAATCTGGCAGTTCTACCAAACTTAACACAACACAATTTAAAAAACAAACAAACACTCAATGATCATAAAACAAATGGTGTGTAAAAACATCATCTGGGGCTCATAAAGGGAAATCCCACCTCAGGACTTTCAGTCTCTCATGGTTGTGGAGGAGTTTTGGCCCACTCTTCTTTACAACATTTCTTCAGTTCATTGAAAGTTCTGCTCAGCTCTCGGAGGGTCAATCAGATTCAGGTTCTGGACTCTGACTGGACCATTGTAAGACCCTGATTTTTTTCTTTCTGATCCGTTCTGTTGTAGATCAGCTGCTGTATTTGGGAATATGGTCCTGTTGGACCCAGTTTGGTCCAAGCTTCACGTTCAGACAGATGGACTCACGTTTGACTCCAGAAACCTTTGGTCTACAGAGGAGTTCCTAGTCCACTCATTGACTGCAAGGAGCCCAAACTAGGGATGCACGATATTATCAGCATGGTATCGGTATCGGCCGATATTAGCGTTAAATTTCAATATCGGCCATTCCATTAAAATATCTCGCCGATATAAAAGGCGCTGTTTTTGCCTACAGCTGCAGCGCAACGTAAAAGATGTTGCAGCGGCAGAGCTACGCGATGACATCACGCGCACCTACCCAATCTCACGGCGAAGTTTGGAAAATTCAAAATGTCGGAGGTGTGGAAGTTTTATTTTTCGTTGGTGAGGATGGTGGATTCCAAAGATTTATGGACTACGTTGAGCCTCGCTACATCGTCCGCAGTTGGAGATATTTTTCCGACGTAACCTTACCCGAGTTACCAGCCATAATTTCCGACGTCATTAAGAAGCTAATACCCGATAGCACGACTTGTTGGGTGAGTTTTACCACAGACATTTGGACGTCGTGTTAGCCCCATTAGCATGATTAGTCTTACGGCACAATGGATAGACCAAAACTTTGAACTTAAAAAGGCTGTCCTTCATGCACAAGACTGCAGCGGATCCCACACTGCAGCTAGGAACACGGAACAAGCCTCCACAAGTGAGACAGTATTGTAGGTGACTAATGCTAATAAATAACATTTAACACTTTTCATTTCATATAAGTCAAAGTGCTATGTATATCATATGGCTGTTACTGAATATATGTCACCAGCTCTTCAGCAGTTGCACAATTTTTGTAGCAAATAAGCCTAAATAAGAGGGCTATGTTCTGACAAAGGAACGTAAATAAAATATTGGTATCGGCATCGTTTATCAGCCAAATAAGTTTTAACATATTGACATATCAGATATTGGCCAAAAATCCAATATCGTGCATCCCTAGCCCAAACCATCAGCCTCCACCATCGTGCTGACAGCTGGGAGGAGCTGTTTGCTGCAGTGCATTCTGGGTAAACAGCTCTCCTTTGGTTTGGTTCAGTTCAAAAAGTCTCATGGTTCCTTCCGATGAAACTTTCTAAACCTAAGTCATGCTGCCATGTTGATTTTAGAAAGGAGAGCTCATGACCTTTGACCTTTGACCTGCTAACCAAGGCCTGCAGAGTCTGAGATGGAGCTAATTTCTCGGAGCATTGCACGGTCTGACCATCGGGGTGAATCTGCTAAAAAAAAATTCAGCTATCTTCGATGTTTTCCACTCATGAGTATTCAATTCAATTAAATTCAATTCAAAAATACTTTATTAATCCCACAGGGAAACTAAGTGTTGTTCAAGTTATCAGGTCTCTCTTGTAAATGAGTCCTCGAGGCTCAATGGGATTTACCTGTCTAAATAAAGGTTGAATGAATGGAAAATGTAGCTCATCATCCTGGTTCCATTCAAGACTTGTTATAGAGGCTGATAGCTGTGGTCAGGAAGGATCTCCTGCAGCGACTCCGAAGAATCTGGCCACAGATATCAATCCATCCACCCAGATCCAGCTTGCTGTCAGATCCAGCGGGCCTCTTGGTTTTCCTGGGCAGCAGGACTGCCCGAATGCTGGGCAGAATTCCTCCCTGAGTGATGGTCACTCCTCCCAGCAGTGTGCCGAGCACCTCGTCACCACAGACAGACAGCTGAAGGTGCCGGGGGACGATCCCGGTCCTCCCGTTGTCACGAGCCAAGTTTCCTACCAGCTTCAGGATCTTGGCGATCAGGTACTCAAGCACCGCCATCAGGTTGACGAGAATTCGTCTGCGACGGCTCCTTTTCAACTCATTTGGTATTTGGGGCTGTAGTTGAGATATTTGAGCTTTTAAGATGTTATTATGTTACTCCTAGTTGTTAAAAAATGCCTTGTTGCCATGGTTACACATCATAACAAATGCCCAAAAGTAAAAAGGTTTCAGTAAAAATCCTTCCAGCTGCACAGCATCTGATACCAGAGTAAATAATCATTTGAAAAAGTGATTTACATCCAGAAAAAGAGGAATTAAAGTTTTCAAAAGTAATAATTCATAATTAATGTAACAGAGCTACTCCAACATGCAGCCACCCTGAGCAGTGATATCTGTAGAACGATGGACTCCAGATAGTTTGGGAATGACCTTGGACCCTTCCTACTACTCTGTCAGGACTCCACAAATATTAAACTTAAAAACTCAAAAAAGAAAACTGAGGAGGATAATGGAGACTCACCCCAGCGTGTGAGGATGTGGGCCAGCATGGTGTAAACTCTGGACAACATGAGGATGACCAGCAGGTTCAACACTGATCCTGAAAGGCTGGCTATCCTCCCAGCCTGAAAACACAGACACTGTAAAATCAGACGAACTTGAACTAAACGGTGACCTCAGTAATCTGTGGCATCCCTCAGGGCCTCCTCTTAGTGCCTCCATGGGAGCTTTTAAAGAGGGGGAACACGTCAGGTATTTCAGGCTGTGCTGTACTCACAGAGAAGATGAAGAAGTTGTACTTAGACCGGGAGATGATGATGCTGAGGATTGTGCGATACAAAATGATGGCGATGAGAAACATCAACACAACGGCAACCTGCACAAAGGAAGGGAAATTTCAGGCATTCTTACCTTTTATTTGATTTTTATACTCTTTTTAGTTTTGATTGAATTTGCTAATCGTTCAGAAACATTTTGAAGGGCCTCTTTTATGTTTTCAGCAAAAACATTTGAGTTGGAAAGTTCTCATAACATCTTGCTTCAGGAGCAGTCAGACGATAAAAGTCACGAAGTTTACCATGATGACGATGACCATGCAGCCAGTTATGGTTCGGTTGAATCGTTTCTTTTCAGGAAAGTAAGGTTCTTCAGCCCCAGTGATCGGATTCTTCATGGTCATCGGTGCCATGGCCGTGAACTCAGGACGAGGACGCTCCTGTTGAAGACAAGAGATGACTTCAACAAGCTTCCACCAGACAAGATAGCAAGAGTTTAGGTTTAGCATTTCGGACAGATCGGGGAATCCCACCTCAATGTCCTGAAATTCAGAGCAGTCCCAGCGGTGAGACAGAGCTGAACATGTCCTTTTCCAGTATTCCAGGAAAGTGACAGCCCATAGGGACATAAAGATGCTGAGGAACACTGTTCCTCCATTATCAAACAGGAGACCCGCCTACAGACACAAAACAGATCTACTGCAGACAACACAAAGCAGCAAAGAGATGAATAATACCAATAAAACCAGAAAATATCATGAATGCAAAGGTCAGAATGACAAAACCACCATGAATAGATCACCTAAGTTCTCCACTCAGTTTCTGTTTATAAGATCTGATCTGTTTGTTTTTCAGAAACTTCTGTTGTTTGCTTGAATAATAACAACAATTTTTTTTTAATCAAATACTACTAGCCTGAGAACTCCTGGTTAAACAAGATTATGTCAAGTGATAACTGAAGCCACGACCAGGTAGTTTCTTAATTACCTAAAATCTTTCAATTTTAAATTTATCATTACAAACCATATTCATTTCAGCCTTAAAAAAACAGATTAGAATCAATCAAAACTCAAATATATAGCAAGTAGCCTCTGATATAAACTCTCACCTTACACTGGATAATCTGATCCCACACTGGAACATCAAATCCCACACTGGAACATCTGGCCCTACAATGGATCATCTGATCCAACACTGGAACATCTGGCCCTACAATGGATCATTTGATCCAACACTGGAACATCTGACCCTACAATGAAACATCAGATCCCACACTGGAACATCAGATCCCTACAGTGGATCATCTGTTCCAACACTGGAACATCTAACCCTACACTGGAACAACAGACCTCACACTGGAACATCAAATTCTGCATTAGAACATTGGACCTTGCAATGGAACACCAGTCCCTACACTTGAACATCTGACTTCTACAGGAACATTTGACACACATGAACATTTAGCTTTGGGCCCTACACAATAGAACATTTTATTCTGCATTGGATCATCTGGCTATTTGATGGACACCAGCATTTATATAACATGTTAGTTAAAATACAAATTTGATCATGTAGAAATCTTCTTATAAACAATCTAAAATGCTTTCATTGAACATATTTTTGGTTTCTGGAGGCAAAACGTGGCAGCACGGTGGCACAACTGGTAGAGCTGCTGCCTCTCAGCGAGCACGTCCCTGGTTCAAATCCCAGTCCGGGGGCCTTTCTGGGTGGAGTTTGCATGTTCTCTCCGTGCATGCGTGGGTTTTCTCTGGGTACTCCGGTTTCCTCCCACAGACCAAAAACATGAATGTTAGACTGGTTGGTAACTCTAAATTGTCCCTAAGTGAGAGTGAGAAAGTGAATGGTTGTTTGTCTCTATGTGACCCTGTGATGGACTTGCGACCCATCCAGGGTGTACCCCGCCCCTTGCACAGTGATTGGTGGACATGGGCACCGGCAACCCCCATGACCCAAAAATGGTAGAACCGGGTAAAAGATAATGGATGAATGGATGGATGGAGGCAAAACATTTTATATTTTGACAGATTGGTACCTTGTAGGTGATGCAGATGCTGGAGTAGTTCCAGGTAGAACAGGTACTACAGAGAGGACACATGGTGAAAGTGTCCCCACTTTCACACACCTCCTTCCTACAACACACAAATACCATCAGAAACGTTTCAGGTGTTTGAGGTCAGGTCCAAACAGGACTTTGATCTGACAACCAGGACTGATGTTAAAGCATTGGTATTAAAGATGTTCACTGAAGTTGTACTCACGCTGGAATATCAGTGGCTACAAGCCAAAACCCCACAAGGAAGACCAGGGTTCCAACCAAAGACACCGGTAAGAGCCAGCCAGTGTAGAAACCTGTTAATGTAGACCCAGTCAGTGTTTGTAAACTCTCTGACTGCCCAGAACTGTTACTTTATCTCCTCATTTCTTTACATTTTCCTTCAAATGATCCCCACTTTTCTGTAATGTGTTAAAGTGGTCTGAATCAATATTTTCTCAGAATTTTTGAAGGTCTTTCTGAGTTTTTCTTTGGACTTTGGCCACTTTATTTCTCAGTTTTAGACCTTGAACCTGACCACTTTCAGATGCTTTGTTTTAAACCCTTTAACTATGAGTTGTTGGAGGTAAACTATAAAGAAATAAGGACTGGATTAGAACTTCTAAACCATAATTACCAATCCAGGCAAAGTAAAGAGCTATCTTCTCTCCAAAGTACTCCCTGATGTGGTCCAGTGGTTGGTATCGACTCCAGCAGGACCACTTGGCCCAGTGTTCATACAGGATCTGTCTAAGTCCTAAAGACTCGGGGGCCACCGGTGGGATAGGCAGCCTGAAATCCCCCTGTAAACACAAAGCTTAAATAAAACAAGTCTTTTCAGTCTGTTCAATGCTCTGAGGCACATCAGGCTTCACAATGAGAGTTTGGGGGTTCATCTCACCTCATGCAGCGGGTATGCAGCAGTAAAGACCTGTTCACTCATCAGCCGGTCGATTCCCACCTCCCCTTTGTTTGGAGAACCGTATGGAGTTCGGGCCAGGATCTCATACATCTGCAAAAACACAAGACAGACTGAACTGAGCTGAAAAGGTTCCTGATTTAAAATTAATCAGATGATGACTCTGGTCAAAAACATTTGTACATCCCAATAAAACTTTGAGGCTCCAGAACACCTCCATGAGGAACTCCAGATATGACAGCGCTGAATCAGCAGTTTTTCTGTTTTTAGTTTTTGTAGATTGTTTGTGATCTAACTACTCCAGAATTTTTGTTATTTTAACCATTAATTTCTCAAACCTTTCAACTCTTTCAGGAGTTGGGAGCTCTGACTTTTGATTTTTGTAAATAAAGTTAAATATTTTTAAAGTTACAAAATATTTTCCACATACAAACACAGTGAGATCTCTTGAGTTTATTCAAAAATATTTCTATCTTTAAAATATGCTTTAGCAAACTGTCTCTGCTCATATGTTTTTATGAAACTTTAGATTTTTCATTAGTTTTTTTTGTTACATTTAGCTTTTATCAACCATTCTGCAACTTTCAGCTTTTAGCCAATTTTTTGCACCTTTTACCTTTAACCTGCAAAATACATCCAATTTATTTGACTGCAATATATCTTGCTTTTCAATATAAAATTGTTGTAAAAATTAATTTTATTAATAGTTTTGTTGATTTAACTTGATGAGGATCAGTTTTAGTCTTTTGTTGTACATGCTGTCAAATTTCACCTCTGTTGGTTTTGTCCGTGTGTTTGTTAACTGAGGAATAAATTTTCAAGGAAATGGTTTTGTTCCAGTGCAGCACAGCGGATGGAGTTTGCATGTTCTCTCTGTGCATGCGTGGGTTTTCTCCGGTTTCCTCCCACAGACCAAAAACATGCATGTTAGGCTGATTAGTAACTCCAAATTTTCCCTAGGTGTGAGTGAGAGTGAATGGTTGTTTGTCTCCATGTGTCCCTGTGATGGACTGGAGACCTGTCCAGAGTGTCCCCCTACTGCCTCTTGCACAGTGATGACTGGATATGGACACCAGTGACCCCCACAACCCAGAAAGGAAGAAGAGGGTAAAGATAATGGATGGATGATTTTTCCTCCCTCACATCCATTAGTACTTCCTTACTCTGTCAGCATTGAACAGTGTGTGTGTTTGTGTGTTGGTCAGTGTGTGTGTGTTGGTCAGTGTGTGTGTGTGTGTGTGTGTGTGTTTGGCAATGCGTGTGTTTTGGACAGTGTGTGTAGTGGACAATGTGTGTGTGTATGTGTGTGTTGGTCAGTGTGTGTGTTTGCAGATTGTATTTATCAAAGAGGCGTCTCCACCTCCAGCATCCGTTTGTTGACTGAGACATCCTGGATCAAAGAACTCAAACCGGTCTGCAAGGACCCAGTGACACCAGAACCAGCTCTCATTTATTTGAGTTTTTAGACTTGAGCTCTTTGGATCAGAACCGTCAGCTGTCAGTTTGATGATGATTGACAGCAGCAGGAAGATAATCCAGGTTTGATTGACAGATGTTTAACAGGTGAAATCTAAAATGCTGAAAATATAAACAGAATATTTTAAAACTCCATATTTGTCCAAACTATGATTTTCAGGGTTTTTTTGTCCATCATGAGACATTTCTGACATGCAGACATCACTAACTGTCCTGTTGGTGGATGTGTTTGGACAGTGGTGCAGTTATTTATGATCTGTTTAAATTATTATATTTTAATAAAGCATGTCTTAACTTGGTGCCTGAACTCACCACCTGGTGTCTCTGAGTTGTTTTGAAGAATGTCTCCTTGTCTTCACTTCCCAAAAACCTGCAGAGACACATAAAATGCATACATGTCCATGAGACTGTCCTTGAGTGGAGCACAGCTGGACAAACATCTGACAGACCTCTCTAGCTTGTTGGTCCTGAACTGACAGGTGTAGTAGTCCGGTGGGGGGTTGGGGACATCCTGGGACAGAGGGTTTGGGAGGGACAGCTTGGACAGCACCTGTTCGGACCAGTTAACAATTGGAGCGGTGACCATCTGCAGAGGGACTCTGAGACTGATCTCCTCAGCGTAGTAACAGAGGACGTTCCACGGAGCGCTGAGGAGGACGAAGCAGATCCTCATCTTCGTCTGAAGGACTTCCCTCTGAGGACACAAAGACAAAGACTCTGGAGAAACCCAAAGGACTGAAAGACCTGCAGGACATTTTGTGGGGTTTTGCTCTGAACTCATCCAACTGTTGCTGCTAAACTTTATTATGTATTTATTATTTATTTAACAGGCAAATCCCACTGAGATCACAGATCTCTTGTCAAGGTCCTCCTGGGACCTGCATGTTTTTGGACTGTGGGAGAAAACTCAAGTACTCAGAGAAAACCAAGGAGGAGAACACGAAAACTCAGAAAGATCTCAGGTCCAAACTGAGGTTTCTAAACAAGCTGTGATTGATCTGCTAAATGATCTGTTTATTGTTTCTAAGGATTTTATTTTAAAGTTTAGAGAACAGTTGAAAACCAGAGCCCTGCTTTTTGTTCAGACATGTCTGTAGACACAAACCCGCTCCAAGATAGTTTGATCGAACTTAGTACTGCACTTCACCACTTGCTCTTGCCGAGATCGGACACTTCTCCCCTCCCTCTCTGCTTTGCTTTGCTGCTCTGTCTGTCTGTGAAACTGCTTCTGAGCCTCTCTTGCATATCTTCCAAACCATAATTATGGACCTGTTTTAATAAGTTGGTCCCTCAACTCAATTTACAACATTTCTTCAAAGAGAAGACAGGCTTTAGGCAAGCCGATTTGCCCTGTTGGCACGCACGCAGCTGGATATCTCATCGACTTGAAGACTTGATGTGTCTATCTCTGCTGCCATTTGTGGATTTTAAGGACGCATATTTAATTGGATTTACGATAACTAGTTCCTGCTTTTTGGATTTGGTTGGTTGCTGGTTTTATCTACAATCAAGGAAGTCATCGGCAGCAAATTTGGACCCGATCACGCTGCTTGCCTTTATGATGGCTTGGTTCATGTCTCGAGTACCTGGACTCAAATGCTTAGGGCAGAATGGATCAGATCTCAGGGATTTTACTCAGTCACGTTCCATTGGTGTGGCCATGTAATATGTACATTTTGGAACTGAGTGGACCAACACAGAGTCAAGGTAGATGTCATTAAGTTCTGCCTGTCCCCAAAACAACTGTGTTTATCTGAATTTGGCTCCCTTGGCTGGCCTTGAAGGCCATCTTATCTGAATTCGCCTGGAGAACATGTGATCTGATGCTCACCACCCCCTCCCTGAGGAATTTCCAACTGAAAACCAGATGAAACCAGATGAATAAACTTTGTGTCATCATTTCAGGACTCTTGGATTCTCATAGTCGTTATTCTTGGCCATTCCTCGACATACCTCGAGAATGTTTATGGATCTCACCGGAGGACACTGGCTGATTATTACATCTTTATCAGAACTCTTACAGGGCCCTCGAGAACATCTATGATCATCTCACTGCTCTCGTCGTCTCCCCCCTCTGCAGAATGTCTACGTAAATATGTGCTTGTTTGTGCGAGATGTTTTTTAAAATCGTATATGAGTTTTTTCTTCTCAGGCTGAAAAAAAAGTCTGATAGGAATTTTTTCGCCTCCAATTCCTACATGTGTCCAGTTTATCACTTTTATTGTCTGTCTAAACAGGTCTCACTTGTAAATGAGTCTTTGAGGCTCAATGTGACTTATCTGTTTAAATAAAGGTTGAATGAATGAATGAATGAATAATGTGACTGCTGTTGTGTTTTATTGACTGTAACTGTACATCACTTGTCCTGTGGTTGCAACAAGTGCTTTATAAATAAATCTGGTCTGATAATTTTAACAGAAAATCAGCAGCCTCTCAAAGTGTCTCTTTAAAATAACAATAGTCTTTAGAATCAATGTTCCATCCATCCATCATCTTTACCCGCTTCTTCCTTTCTGTGTCATGGGGGTCATTGGCGCCCATATCCAGCTGTCACTGTACGAGGGGCAGTGGACATCTGGACAGTCCATCACAGGGCCTCATAGAGACAAACGAGACAAACAACCGTTCTCTCTCTCACACACACCTAGGGACAATTTAGAGTTACCAGTCAGCCTAACATGCATGTTTTTGGTCTGTGGGAGGAAACCCACACATGCATGGAGAGAACTTGCAAACTCCACCCAGAAAGCTGCTCTGACACCCTTCTCCCCGAGAGCTCTACTAACTGATCCACCATGCCCCCAGAAAATGCGTTGGATTTGATAAATACTTAATTATGAGATATTCAGTACAGAGAAAGGACAGAAACATTGATTGTTCTTTAATATTTCTTTTGAGTCATATGTACTTTGAAATGAGATTAGTTGGCTGTAAATTGTTATTTTCTATGAGGAGGAAGATTTTATGTCTGCCTCATGTGGATGGATCGTGGTACAGTAGTCCCTCGCTACTTCGTGGTTCATTTATCGCGGTTTTTCAAAGTAAGACTGGACATGACACAACTGGCTGATTGATGGATGAGCCATGCATTGTTTGTTTAAAATAAAATATTTTAAATGATTTTGTACGATGTGTGCAGCCCACAAGTGCAGGGAAAGCTCCCTCCTGCAGCGATCAGCTGATCTCCTTCTCTGCCATGCACATACGTTTCTCCTGCTGCAGCTTCTTGAAGATTAACCCTTTGCTTTCCAGAAGCACAGATCAACTTTTATCTTCTAACTTAAAATTCAAAGTATGTCACATTGTAAAATCGTCATAATCACAAAACATAAACGTGTCAGAAGTTATTTTTAATTATTTTTGAACTTTTATGTTCAGTTGTTTCAGTGTAATTGATTAAAAAGTACATTTCTGCTCCGTGCTGCAGAGCTGAAGCTGTGTGGCATCCCTTTGATGTCCTGCTGCACTTCTCTTCTCTACAATTTAAATACTGTAACATTTTAAATATAAATTGTTTAGTTAAGGAGGGAGATTAGGAGTAAGAGGTGATGAGTGAGTGTGATTACAGCCTGGCACATGTCATGACAAAGTTTACTGAACTTGAACTGAACTTGAACTTGGACTACTGTATCCCTACTTCACAGTTTTTCAGTTATCGTGAGTGGGCATGGTCCCTAACACCCGCAATAAACGAGGAACAATTGTACTTTGAAACATAAAATTTTGGTTTGTGAATAAATTCAGTTTGTTCTGTCAGAATACACTTTTTAAAAACCTCATAATTGTTTTTAAAAATGACTCAAAGTTCAGGATTTGGGACTTGATTAGGTACCAGTACCTGCAAGACTTGACTTTAGACTTAAACATCTGGCTGCTCAGTTTTGTTTATTTTTCTTGGATAACGTTGTTTCTGGTCATTTACCTGTCTGTCTGTCTTTGTTCATAGGTTGGCAGACACCTGCTCACCGGTCTGTGGCAGAGCTCCTATCTGTCTGCAAATGTGTCTTCATCACATTACCCATCCCTGTTTGTTCAGAGAAGCAGCTCAAATGCTTTCCCTCAAGTGTCGACTTTACCTCAGGATGTGATTCTTTAATGTTTGTTGTTTTTACTCAGGTGAACAAGGTGACCACTTCCCACCCAGGTCATGTGACTTACAGTTTGCTCTGCTCACCTGTTCCTGCAGCAGTCCTGCATGTCTCAGTCTGTTAAGAAACTCCTCCCTCCACTTGCAGTGGGTGGGGCTAACACCTGAGCTGTCTTCTGGTGAGCTCAGAGGCTCCTCCCACACCAACACGAAATCTGACCAATGGGAGAGCAGAATTTAATCCTTAGTTGATGAAAATAATCTAGTATACAAATAAAAACAACTTTTTTTTAAATTTCATTAATTCAATTTAAACCAGAATGAATTTTAAGCAGATTTTTAAATTAAAACATTTTAAACATTTTAAATGAATATTTATTAACAGTTTTTAATAAACAAATCTATTTAATTTCAGCGCTTCAGCAATATTAGAAATATTTAATTATTAATATCAAACTGGATTAAATCTGATTGATGTGTCTAAATATTTTGGTCATTATTCGGGTCCAAAGTGACGTTTTTTAAACTAAATATTTTCAATAAAACTCAGATTTTAATTCAGAAGCAAGGACACAAAGGTAAGTTCAAAACAAGTTTTTAATTAAACAAATTTCAGTAAATGTTCAGAAAATCCTCAGAAAGTTCAGTTAAACTTACCGATTCGAGTTTTTCCATCACTGAACACGTTCCTGTCCAGTGACAGGGCTGGTGCATTCTGGGAAAAAAACATGAACCTTAAAGTTAAATTATTGCTTACTTGATTTCTACCAAACAACAAGATTAACTCATGAATATAGTCCCTGAAGACTCTGGTTCTCTTTGCAGCTGTTTATTGAAACTTTTAAGTCTATGTTTCATATGATGACCTCACCACCTGTTTTCTTTTGGATTCCTTTGAACTAAATGTTTTGATTTCATGAATCCTGCAGGACTTCCGTCCATTGCGGCTCTGGTAATTTACTTGGTGATGCTAATGGCAGCAGATTAGTTTCTTCCTGTCATTTTGTGCCTCCGTTGTTGCTACCGAGGTTGATGACAAACGCCACAAAGAACAGGATAAACGTCAGCTGATGTAGAGCCACCATTTCTTGTTCAATCACACACACTTCCTGTTTCCTCCTGTGGCCACAGGAAGTCAAACAGTTGGATTAAAGCTCTGCAGTTGTTCCTTTAATGTTTCATCTTTTGGAGGAGCTATGATAGCACATTCCTTCCTTTTCTCAGTTTTATGCTAATCCAGACTAAATACAAAGATTGAAGATAAAGATCTGTTTATTCTAAGAGATTTATAAAATTAAAATGAACAACAGAAAAGAGTTTATATTGATTTTTCATGAAAAACAAATAAATTCAGCCTAATTGATGGTGGTGAGAATAGATCAGAGCCGAACAATGAGACTGTTGCTACAAGCGGTTGAAGCGTGTTTCCTCTGCAGCGCAGCCAGTTTTAAAGAGATTCTGCTCTCTGTTTAACCAAAGCTGCGATTACAATTAAGACCTGCATGTAGTGATCTTATTGATCTCTCAGATCCACTGAGGAGACTTAATTTTGGCAGGATTTTACAATGATTCAGGGCTGGAAGGCCCTCATGTGCATGAAGTAGAGAAGATGATGGACGTTATCAGAAAGAGATTTCCACCAGGATGTGAGTTTCACTGCAGCAGGAAGAGGTTTTTGTTGTACATGAACTTAATGAAATAACATAAACTACATTCTCTCTGCAGGTCTTTTAACGTTCAGACCTGATGTTTCTGTGTGGTGGTTCAGATTATAATTTAAATAGAACCTCCATCAGTGTCCAGTGTGACCTGTCCACCATTCTGAAGTAACTCACTGAAGAAGAGAAGACGTCAAACGAAGCACACTGTGTTGAAATATGGATGCTACATGTTAGCATGTGTGCATCGGTTCTGAAGTTGTTCAATCAGAACAGTTAAAAAACTATTATCTGACACGATTGTTTGATCCAGAGTTTAAAGTTAAGCTAATCTCTTTATGCCTACTCTAACACAGAGTATTTTTTCTGGAACAGGAGCGATGTACTGAAGGTAGAAACTAAATCCTGTACCAATTCCATCACATTAGTATCGATACAGTCCAACACCAACATTGTTATCAGGTGTTGGTGTAGATTCTCATTCATCTAAGACATGACAGATTAAAAAAAGATGAAGCAACTGGAATTGTGTTCTGTAACTGAAGATATATGGAGTGCACAACACTGGTGTCAATATTATGAATATATGGATCTGTGTACCCCTACCTCACTGACGTAACTGTCAGATGAAATGAAAAATGACCGTTCAGACTATGGTCACCTTCAAAAACATCAGAAAAGGGTCTGATTTAGGACCACGTATGAAAACTACCTGGGTCGGGTTAGAAAAACATGGTCTCCGTATAAATGCACCTGCTCTGTGATAGTCTCAGGGTTCTGTTCAAAGTGCAGAGAGCATCATGAAGACCAAGGAACACACCAGGCAGGTCCGAGATACTGTTGTGGAGAAGTTTAAAGCTGGATTTGGATACAAAAAGATTTCCCAAGCTTTAAACATCCCAAGGAACACTGTGCAGGAAATCATATTGAAATGGAAGGAGTATCAGACCACTGCAAATCTACCAAGACCCGGCCGTCCCTCTAAATTTTCATCTTGAACAAGGAGAAGACTGATCAGAGATGCAGCCAAGAGGCCCATGATCACTCTGGATGAACTGCAGAGATCTACAGCTGAGGTGGGAGAGTCTGTCCATAGGACAACAATCAGTCGTACACTGCACAAATCTGGCCTTTATGGAAGAGTGGCAAGAAGAAAGCCATTTCTCAAAGATATCCATAAAAAGTGTTGTTTAAAGTTTGCCACAAGTCACCTGGGAGACACCAAACATGTGGAAGAAGGTGCTCTGGTCAGATGAAACCATAATTGAACTGTTTGGCCACAATGCAAAACGATATGTTTGGAGTATAAGCAACACAGCTCATCACCCTGAACACACCATCCCCACTGTCCAACATGGAGGTGGCAGCATCATGGTTTGGGCCTGCTTTTCATCAGCAGGGACAGGAAAGATGGTCAGAATTGATGGAAAGATGGATGGAGCCAAATACAGGGCCATTCTGGAAGAAAACCTGTTTGAGTCTGCAAGAGACCTGAGACTGGGACGGACATTTATCTTCCAACAAGACAATGATCCAAAACATAAAGACAAATCTACAATGGAATGGTTCACAAATAAACATATCCAGGTGTTGGAATGGTCAAGTCAAAGTCCAGACCTGAATCCAATCGAGAATCTGTGGAAAGAGCTGAAGACTGCTCTTCACAAACACTCTCCATCCAACCTCACTGAGCTCCAGATGTTTTGCAAGGAAGAATGGGCAAGAATTTCAGTCTCCATGTGCAAAACTGATAGAGACAAACCCCAAAAGACTTGCAGCTGGAACTGCAGCAAAAGGCGACGCTACAAAGTATTAACGCAACGGGGCCGAATAATATTGCATGCCCCACTTTTCAGTTTTTATTTGTTAAAAAAGTTTGACACATCCAATAAATTTCATTCCACTTCACAATTGTGTCCCACTTGTTGTTGATTTTTCACAAAAAAATTTAAATTTTAGATCTTTATGTTTGAAGCCTGAAATGTGGCAAAAGGTTGAAAAGTTCAAGGGGACTGAATACTTTCGCAAGGCACTGTATGGAAGCACACACCTCCCAGATTTCACAGATGAGAGTTTTAATGTCTGCTCTGGGATGGCAGCTTCAACAGGGGTCAGAGGTGGGCTACGTTGTGGAATCGAGAGAAAACGACATCCTAAAGTTAAATATAAACAAAACCAAAGACATGACTGTTGATTAAAAAACCTCCAACTGTTCCGAATTCAGTCAAGGGAGCGTCTAACCAATGTGGACTGATATAAGTACCTGGACACTACTGGAGTTAAAGAAATACCTGGGTACAGCTGTAGACCATAAACTTCACTTGCACCTGAACACTACATTACCTGACTAACTTTAACCTGAATCTCTAACCTAGAAATGAAGTTCCACTGATTTAGGACCTCATAAGGACTCCGGTCTTCAAACGAGGCCCTGGAATGCATAAAAACAAGTACAAGTACAAACACACACAAACACACACACACAAAGAGCCGTTACCATGGCGATGCTCCCATAGTTTATCTCTGGCTTTGTTTCCATGGTGATGAGTACGGTGTTGTCTTCGTGCTGTTGTCCTCTCCTCCTCATCCTTCGCCGCCTTTGTCCTCCTCTCCCAGCTGACCTGTGTGGACAGACACACACATGCAAAGACACACACACACACACACACACACACACAAACGCACACAAAGACACAGACGTTCTATAGTTTCTTCTTTCATACATCACGATTTTAGGACTTTGGAGTTATTGGTGACATTTTAATCATCCAAATAAGACAAAAGGTCAACTGTTTCTACAGGAATCAAACTGATTCAGAACTTCCTCTGTAATAAAATGAGCTATCTGAGCAGACTGTTATTTTGAAGTTATTTGTGTGTTTTATTTTGAAACTCCAAGTTCAGTTCTATTTCTGTTTCCTGCCAACCCTCTGGCTGAATCCTCCTGACCATCAAAGGATTGATCAGTGATGACATGAAGGATCTATGGGGGTGGCCTTGATGGAAACAGAGAAGGAAGAAAAGCATGCTGGGTAAAATAGAAGAACCAAAATCTGCTGAATCACTGGTTACTATGGCGATTTCTGCTTTTTCTCTCTCTCTCTGTGTGTGTGTGTGTGTGTGTGTGTGTGTGGGGTCAGAAATGGGAGTGGCAGCACCCAGAAGCACTTCAGGCAGAACCACTGAGTTTGGAGGTGAAACTGGAGATAAACGGTTAAGACTGTGGAAATAAGAAGTTTGTAAAAAAAAAACACAAACAAACAGAACCTCAGACACCAGAATCCATCAGTCTTGCAGCAGAGAGACACTTTGGGTGGAAGAAGACCGAAAGACCCAAGTTTGGAAGATAAACTGTAAAAAGGGGAATAAATGTAGAAAATAGAAATTTGTTGAAAAGTTGAATATTCTGCAGTAAAATCTATAACTGATATAAAATTCATTACAACAAAACTGAACAAAAATATATTTGTTGTTTATTAGGTAAATTGACACTAAGGTGTAATACCAATAAACTGTTTTCTGACATTAGTTTCCATGTTTTTTATTTATTTATTATTTTTATTATTTTCCATGTTAAATGGTTGTCCATCTAATTAGAAATACACATTTTCTGATATTTTCAGGATTTAAGAAATTTATTTTTAAAGTATGAAATTCTGGTTGTTTGGACAAATAACAGCTGAAATGTGATGGTTTCAAATAAAGTCAATTTTCTTCCTTCGTAGACGTAATTTATTGACTTATTGGTAAACATGTAATTAAAATATGCTTGTACTTTTGCCCAGATGAACTGCACAAACAAAATATAAAAAATACAATTATCCTGACAGCTGTGGATGTGTCAATGCTGCTCATTTAAAACATGTTTTATTACACAAAGAGGAGCAGGATTCAATGTGAAGGTAGAAACTTGTTTAATCTAAACAATAAAATTATTGAATGCTCTGGTCTCACAAAACAAAAAGAAAAACACAAACAGCTGTTTCATTAAAAAACTATTCTCACTGTTTTAGTCACAGTAAATTAATCGCAAATATATATAAAGTCCAACGAATTAAAGAAAACCAACTATTATATTTAAGGGGCTTTATAAAATTTACTTTTTTCAAAATAAAACTTTCACTGAAACATAAGTCTCACTACAACACCTCTGAGATTAGGTGTAAACTTTGACCGAATTTGACCGAAACAAATGGAACTTTTTAGGCTGAAGACCTTAACCCTGCAGCTGATGAACGAAGGAGGGTTCAGAAGACCCTCAGGTGTTTGACTCACCTTTGTGAACAGAAGCTCCTCAACAGCTGTAGCTTTCCACAGAAACACCAACAGCAGCTGTAAGGCTCCAGCATGAAGCCACACCCCTCTGCTTTAGCCCCACCCACCTCTTTAACATAAACAAACACCTGAAAACAAATTCTTAGAACTTAGTGAAGTTCAGAAACTGAAGCAGCTCTTCTTCCGGCCTCCTGCGGTTAAACTGGTGAACATGCTGCCCCCTGGTGGCAGAAGGAGGAAAACTGATCTGTGAGAACTACAAACAGACCGGTCTACGGGTTTTTATTTATTTATTGTAAGTTTTTGAAAGTTGAAATCAGAGACCTACTCCTCTGTTTAAAATTGGTTACTTACATTGTAGCTTTAGGCCTGATCCAGCCAGTTCCACTCCAATCCACACCTTCATGCAGGTGACCCAAACATCTCTCTCATGAGCCAGACAGTCAAAGTGTCTAATGAGCCTCCACCCTGAGGGATGAGTAGTTCTAGTCCAGGACTATTCAATGAAATTGATCAGGGGGCACAGTTACTGAAAGCCGAGAGCTCAGGGGCCGGGCATCCAGCAGTTATTGTCATTAAGTTTGTTTTATAGTTTAAAATCTACTTTAAATTAAATATACCATACCATACCATTTTATTTACAGAGCACTTAAAACAGCGACAAGGCCAACCAAAGTGCTGTACAGACAGAATAACAGACAACACACAAAGCATTATACAAAAATCAAGTAAATCAGAATATAGACATAAAAACGATGCAGATAATAAATATGACAATAAACCAGTGTGGAGCGTACAGGTTCAAAACACAGATCATCTGGTGTTGAAAGCTACTGAATAGTAGTGAGTTTTTAAATGGGATTTGAAAACCGAGAGGGAGGGGGCCTGTCTGACAAGCTGAGGTAACTCGTTCCAAAGTCTTGGTCCTGCTACAGAGACGGCCCTGTCACCTCTGCGTTTAAGACGAGTTCCTGGAACTGTGAGGAGCAACTGGTCCGCTGACTTCAGGGAACGTGGTGGGACATACGGCTGTAGCAGATCAGAGAGATGGGGGGGTGACACTGTTCAGTGATTTGTAGACATACATGAGTATTTTGAACTGGATTCGAAAGTGAACCAGTAACCAGTGCAGTGAACCCAAAACTAGAGTAATGTGCTCTCTTTTGCCTGTACTGGTTAAAAATCATTCTGCTGCATTCTGGACCAGTTGTAGTCGTGCAATGGAGGTCTGACTGATACCAAACAGGAGTGAATTGCAGTAATCAAGTCTAGATGTAATGAATGTGTGTATTACTGTCTCTAGGTTATTTTTGGACAATATGGGCTTCAGTTTAGACAGCCGCCTCAGTTGGAAGAAGCATGATTTAACAATCATGTTTACATGACTGTTAATCAATCAACCTTTATTTAGACAGGTAAATCCCATTGAGCCTCGAGGACTCATTTACAAGAGAGGCCTGATTTCAACAAAGAAAGATGACAACAATGGACAACAGCAACAACAATAAACAATTATAAAAAGTCATAATACAGTTTTTTTTTTTTTTACAAATAGGATGGCTAAAAGGAAAAGGTAACAAAAAAACAGCTAGATTCTAAGGCGAATGTAAAAAACTAAAAACAGGAACATGTCTGCATTGGTCCCTGCCAGGAGTTAAGTTTCAGGGAAGGGTCCATTATCACGCCCAGAATATAAACTCATTGGTGGGTCGAACCTGAGTTCATCGGTGGGTCTGATTTGGCCCTGGGCCGCCAGTTGAATAGCCCTGCTCTAGTCTAATCTGCATGTGAATCTAAGAACATAACGAGACCTCTCGACCATCCTCTCCCGAGGATGTTCTCTGTCTGCTGGACCCAGTTCTGGACTGAGGTCTCTGAGGGCAGTTGCTGCAGTCCTACCATCAAGCTGCGGACTGGAACTGCTAAGCAGCTAACAGAACAACCATGTCCTAACCGAATCACACTGTAGATGCATTTCTTTTTCAATTTTGGCACCTTGTTTTTAGTATTTTAGTAGTATTTTTGGTAAGTTTTTAGTACTTTTGTAGTATTTTAGTACATTTTTAGTATTTTAGTATTTAGTACGTTTTTAGTATTTTGTAGTTTTTTTAGTATGTTTTTAGTATTTTAGTAATATTTATAGTACATTTTTTAGTATTTTAGTAGTATTTAGTACATTTTTAATATTTTGTAGTATTTTTTAGTATGTTTTTAGTATTGTTGTTGCATGCTTTGGTATTTCTTGTTTTTTTGGCAAGTCGAGATGGTTCTTCTCGTCCTAAGCATTTCATTGCATTGTTAACCTTGTGTTGATTTTGCATATTAGTTCTAATCCAGGATTAGTCAACTAATAACATGACAAATAAACCTAATCTGAACGTCTCTTGCAGTTCTATAAAGCTGGCAACTCCACACACTCCAGACATTTGTGAATTGAAAAATCCTCCTGGACGGGAAACAAAACGTCTTCAGCTTCAGAATTTAAATCCATTTGTTTTGTTTTTAACACTTTTTTTATTTATTTATCGTGACCTGAATGACAGAGAATCTTCTCCAGCATACATAAAAATATCAGTTTTGTTAGGCAAGACAGTTAAAAAAATCAAAAACTTTTGACATTTTAAATTGCTTAAATTTGTAACTTATGAGAATCAAAGGGACATTTTCTGTTTTCTTTGATCCCTCACATTAAAAACATATGTTAAAAATTAGAAAGCAGCAGAAAAAGACAAACTCAGTCCCAATTGACCCAGTTTATACTTTTATTAAAATAACATTGAGTTTTCATTTGACTGTAATAATGTCTCGCTGTCTGAGGGAAGTGTTTGAAAGCAGAGAAAATCTGTGACTCAGTGTTTTTATTCTGATACAAAACATCTGATCCAACTCGTCCAACAGAAACAAGAGCACTGATGCCCCCTTCAGGACGCACCTGAAGACATATGTCTTCTACTGTTCACACACGCACACTTCTGTCTGTGCTTGTGAAGACCATCAGCGTCACAAATAGCCATAAATTACAGAGAAAGCTGTGAAGACTATGGAAAGTGCTCACAAGAACAGTTAAAACGTCACACAGGTCCTCACAAACACATGTTCAGGAACACAGATTTTATGACTGGATTTAAAAGAAAAGCGTTCCTTGACTCCAGAACTAAACCTGATTCTAAAAGCCCTTTGAGCAGCCGACTCAAAGTGAAGACCGGTTAAAATGTCCCCACTTTCCAAAATGTCCCCACATTGTTCAAAAACGTTTGGACTGAGGTCCTCACAAGGACAGATAAAGCAGTACACACACACTCTTTGGCAGAAAGCAGCTCCTTAAAAAAACAACAAGCAGGAGATGGACAGTGATGATGTCATCAGGACACAAAGAGCACACAGACTGGTTTTAGATGGCGTGCAGTGATGTCATAACAACCAAACATTAAGTTTGACTTTTCCAACTGACGTTCAGGTTCCTGAATTCACCACGACTACTTCATGTATTTTAAATTTAATTGTTCTGGTTCCTGAACGTTCCACGCTCATCTTAAACGTCTTCCAGCTCTTTCCCATAAGTTTTTTTTTTTTTAACTTGTATTTGCATCACCACTTCAGAATGCCCCACCGTAGTGAGAGTTCCTGAATGCCTCAAATATTTTACGCATGACGTTAATTTATTTAGTTAAATCCAAAAAGTTGTAACATCCTGATGATCAACAAATGCCTCACACTTAACTCAGCTCATAGTTTTCTTTCTATGTTGCTTTTTTACATTTTAGTTTTTAAACTTTTCACATTTGAGTCATTAAACACTCTAGTACTATAAATTCCCCATTTTTACTGGAGTTCCTGAAGGCACCACAACCATTTAACCACCTTTCCCAGACTTGTTTTTATTTTGGCACTGGTTTTAGTTTCCCCACACCTGTAAAACTCTGAAACACTGCTGTGTCACTCGACCCTGAATGCCTCATCCTTGTTGTTCCTGAACGCACCACATGCATTTAACTTCTAATAATTTAGTTTGTCAAAACTGTGAAATACAGAGTTCAAAGAAACATCTGGAGACTTTCCAAACATTCTGTTCGAAAAGTTAAAGCAGTAATCTGGACCGAACATTAAAACAAAATTTTATTATGAACTATTTAAGGAGTTAATCCTCACAGTTGATGACTTTAGGCTTTAAATAGGAGGAGACTGTTTAAGGTATCCATGACGACAATAATTGGAGTGTACGCACAAAGTGGATTAAAGTGATTAATCTGTTCATTAAAATCCTTCATTTTTACATTTATATCACCAAAAACTGCATCACAAATTCCACCGGACTCTAAAGGCAACAGACCAACAGATTGCCCCGACGGTGAAACTTAAATTATTTCATGGTTTCATTAAAGGACATTTTAAAGAAGCTTAAAATCATTTTATCACCTTCAAGGGACCTGGTTTAAATTTAAAATCTTATTTTTTAAATCCTTTCATTAATTATAAACTCGTTTGTGCCAAATAATCGTTAACCTCCATCTTGGACCCTCGAGCCAATCAGACGACAGCTTCCTCATGCAGCGATGCAACAGGTCAGCTTGGTATGAGGTCATCACAGTGATGTCATCAGAATTACAAAACACACACACACACACACCAAAGCCCAATAATATTTGGTGACAGTGATGACTTAAAAATCAGGAGCAAACATTGTCCCGTGTGGCTTCATCGTCACCATCGTCGTTCCGTCCATCAGGTCTCTGCAGTCCATGAGACCGTTTAGTTTCCAGACAGGAAGTGAGTCTGATCGTTGCTTGATAACAGATGAAGTGAAGATCAAACACAACCTCTGACTGCACCACAACACCTGCAGAATCTAAGACACTAACGAGCTCATCAACCTGTTCATTAACAGATCGATCCAGCAGCACCACCTGGGTCCGCTCCGGTCTACCAGACCTCGCAGCGCTTGCCGGTGTTCATCGGCGTCCCCTCCGGACAGCTGAAGTGGCGGCTGAAGTCCGGAGAGTTGGCCAGAGTGCCGATGACTCTGTATCTTGGGGGGCTGTGGGAGTCGGTCACCAGGCCCTCGTGAGCGCTCTCCGGTGTTCGAACCGAGCACCAGACCTGGAAAGATTCACACGTGGGGGCGTCACAAGTCCGCCCCTCCACACAGACCTGACAGAAAACGGTTGACTCTGCTGTTTGAGAAGCCTCAGAGGAAAAATGACAAGAAGCTAAAGTGTGTTCAGATCCAGGAGGATTTTTTATTTTTATTTTGGTCTACGGGTCAGAATACTGCTCAGCTCTCTGAAGGTCAAACAGGTTGAGGTTCTGGACTCTGACTGGACCGTTTGAGAACCTTGATTCTTCTCGTTTTGACCCAGTCTGTTGTGGATTAGCTGCTGTGTTTGGAATAATTTTCCTGTTGGACCCAGTTTGTTTCAAGCGTCAGCTGTTGGACAGATGGACTCACATTTGAGTCCAGATCAAGGTTCATGTTTCTGTATTTTCATTCGCATCACATGTGGTACATGAGGTGGAACGAAATTGTGAACTCAAGGTCCCAGTTACACCGAAAAACAGAAATAATATAAAGTATATAAAGAAAAGAAACAGTATACAAGGATCCAATAATTCTCAGTCAGGTCATCTGGACAGTTTCTTTATATATACATATATATACACATATACACATGTATATATATATATATATAGCATTAACAGAGTACTCGAGTAATCTACACATCGATTGCTAGGACATCTATCAAGGTTAAAAATGTAAGGTCGAGTGTCCGTAGTGACGTCATATTATGTGACCACCGTATGACCGTAGGGGGCGGTGTTGCACTGTTGCAGGTCACAAAGTATGGTGTAACACCGGGTGCAATCCACCAAACCAGAACCAGCTTCCTCTTGTTTCACAAACAAAAAGCAAAAAATATTAATCTCTAAACCTATAAAAAAAAAATCTATAAACATATTAATCTCTAAACTAAACTTAATGCGCACCACAGCTGGCGGTGGGGCGGGGTGGGCCCCCCCCCCCCCCCCCACTGTTAAGTTTCATTTTTGACGTACTGCATTTTTCTTCACGTTTGCAGTTTAATAATAATAACTAAAAGTTTATCCTGATGCATGCTCAATAATCCAGGTAGAAAAATCCAAGAAAGTTCAATCTGGTCCTCTGGACATTCAAAAAAACAAAACAAAGCAAAAAAAAAATGTAGAAACGTTTCGTCTCTCATCCAAGAGACTTCCTCAGTCTGAGCTGCTGTATTCAGCTCAGTCTCTTAAATAGCACCTTCTCAGAGTGGATCAACCAGTTTGCTGCTGACAACCAAAACCAACTGATCACATGCTCAAGAAGGACCATCAGCCTAACAATGGATCATTAGCACACTGATGGCTGTTTACTGTTCAAAGGGGGCTGAGTGATACCAGCAATCACAGCATTGTAAGAGGGGGACAATTGAACCCGGAGGCCTCCACCCCTGTTTAATGATGGACGGTCCATCATTAAACAGGGGTGGAGCCTCCAGGTTCAACTGTCCCCCTCTTACAATGCTGTGATTGCAGTGATTTTCCTGGTTAGGGGTTTATGAGTCTAACAACCTCAGGGTAGAAGCTGTTCCTCGGTCTAGTGGTTCTACACTTAATGCTCCTCAACCTCCTTCCTGAGGGGAGCGAGGCAAAAAGTGTGTGTGCTGGATGAGCGTGGTCCTTCATGATGCAGGTGGCCCTCTTCCTCTTCCATCAGAGGTTCTTCAACTATTTAGTTGCAAACCCATCGGAAGACCTGAGGCCGCTGACTATCTTTGGTTTAAGTACAGAAACATCTTTAAAACAGCAACAAAGACCGCCTCGATAACTGTTAGAAGCTTTTTGTCTATTTTAAAACTTCACTTTATATCTATCAACAGTTGTGGCTAAATATCCCATTCATAATAATTTTAAAACTCATTTAATTTGTAGAGAATATCAAGATCTTCAACGGGTCCAGAACCAAACTTTTGACTCCAGATTCTGGTCTAAAGCGGTTTTTACAGAGTAGTGACACCCGATGGCGAGGCTGTAGATTACAACTAAGAGAATAATGACTCAGCAGCTGTGAAGTTCTGACCCGTATCACCTTCTGTCCATGCCAGTTTAAACTATAATTGGGTCATTTGTTAGCAGAAGCTCACCTGTGCAAACCCCACGAAGAACAGCTGATCATTGGTCAGGTTGACAGCAGGGAGTCTCTTCTCATCGCCGTTTTTCTGGATCCAGGAGCGGTACGCCTGCAGGAGGAAACGTCAGAAAGGCAGCGGAGCCGTTTGAATGCAGCGGAGCACTTCGTGTGCGTACTCACGTGATACGCAGCTTTCAGCCCTCCGTTGTCGGCGATGTTTTCTCCAAGTGTCTGCTTCCCGTTCACGTGTTCTCCGTTGACGAGGTAGTGGTTGTACTGGTCCATCATACACTCGGTTCTCTGCCGGAATGCAGCCACAGATGAGTTCTGCCACCATGGCCTCAGGTTCCCCTCTTTGTCATACTCACGACCTTTTTGACAGAAGGAGGACAGCTGACCAAGACGTTCAAAAACGTGTGACATTAGGCTGCAAACTGAACCACAGCCAGTTAAGACAATAAAAAACAATGATTCTTTAAATTCTAATAACTTTAGTTTTATGTTATACAGCATGAAATTGTTTGGACATCGTTAAATTAATGAATTTCCATTCATTTCTGCATTTCAGGCTGCAACTAGTAAAACTTTATTTTTTTTTTTCCGCCTTGTCCTGTCCGGCATTGTGGCACTTAGAATTATTGTCTGAGTGTCAAAGTGAAGCCCAACAGATTTACTTTCACAAGCAGAGCATTATGGCTGACCTTAATGCTCCACTTGATATATAAATTAAATTTTATTAGAATATGCTTTGGGTTTGTTTCAGATGTAATGGACACGGGGACCGAAAACAAAGAAGATAACAAAGCAGAAAAGTGAGAGAAGAGTTAAAATGTAAAGAAGGAGATAGGAATAGAGGAGAGAGAGAGGGATAACGAGAACACAAATCAACATCAATGAAGTCTGACTCTAGACCTGCGGAAAGAGAAAAAAAAGACAAAACCAAGAAACCACAACAAACAACTTATATAATGATACTTATAACATCATTAGAAAGTATTTTATACAGTACATGATAATACAATATATATTTGATGGCCACCACAATCCAACTGAGTGTGTATCTGATAAACACCTGAATCTAAACACCTGTGTGAGCATGATGTCACTATAAGGTTTCTCATAAAAATGTTCAATAGTGGATGTGGGGACCCATAAACCCGTCCCCACAGGACACGAAGGTAACACAGGGAAGCCCAGAACCACAGCAGCCCCCAAGCCTGGAACTCCGGTAGTCCCCCAACAGGGACACCTGCACCCCCAGAGAGAGAAGCAAAGGGAAGTCCTGGGCGATCTCCAGCAACCACAATGCAGAAACTCCCAGGAGGCCGTAGCAACGAGTCAACAGGCCCCGCCGGCAACCTGCCCCTCCAGAGTGGATCCGGCCATGGACACCAAGCCCCGAGTCCCGAGGTCATACCACCCCCCAACAGAAGCCTGACAGAGCCAGGGCACCCAGGTCCCCACAGGCAGCCACCAGGGCGGGCCTGCACACACCCCACCACCCAGCCCCAGCTGCTGAGAGCCGCCAATGCACCGGCGGCAGGGGGGCCCACCACCGGAGGGGAGCACAACCCACCAAATGGGGGGTCAAAACTGGTCCAAGAGAGGGGGGCCACCCAAAACCCAACCTGAGATAAACAGGCACACAGAGACAGCCCGACAGAGCCTCTGTTGGGCTGTCCATGCGCCCCACCTGCCCAACAGTGACCGCAAGCCGGGGGCCAGAGCAGCAGGGAGCAGCAGCCGAGGAAGACTGGCCCAGCGCACCAATGCATCCCTAAAGCCCCACACCACAGGCCCGGAGAAGCCCCGGCATGCCACCCATGCACCCCCCCCCCCACACACACACACACAGCACCCCGCACCGTGAATGTCACATCATGGCGACCAGCCAGCACTTCGTCGAAGTGAAGCCATGCCCCCGACCGCCGCCATGCACTACCAACGACCACACACACACACACAACCACAGCTGACCTCCCGCCAGAACCCGGCAGCCACCCCAGCCAAAGGGCTGGCCATCAGAACCAGGAACCCTGATAAAAGGATCCAAACAATCCAGGGAGAACCGGAGCACCAGCCCCACCCCCAATCGCCCCCAAAGGCCCAATACCCACCCACAGCCCAGACCCCAACCAGGCAGCATTACCCCCCCGCCCCCAACCCCAAATGTCAGACAGAGAATGAGGGTTTAAGAAAAGCTGTAAGACCCAACTCCTCCCTCCCCCCACTCAAATAAGATGTTGATGCATGTTGTTATATAGTGCGTTTAAAATGGGGGGGATGAGGTGGCGACTGGCACAGACCCACCCCCTCCCCAGAGAGCAGGCAGTTCCCGTTCACCCCCCCAACCCTTGCCCAGAACCCTAAATGTCTACATGCTGCATATGAGAGTGGGCACAGGTCCCGGAGGTGAGAATGATTACACATTCCACCCCCTATATGCCACCATGTGCCCACTCCAGACCCTATATATCACATAAATATAAAATCACATAAATTCTGTAAGAACAAAAATATCTAAATCTATTGCAGTACTATACAAAGTCAGGGAATTATTAAATGATAAAGCTCTGTACATGTTGTATAACACAATCATTGTTCCACATTTAATCTATTGCATTGATGTTTGGGGGAAAGCATGTAAAACATTTACAAAACCTATTTTTATTTTACAGAAAAGAGCTGTAAGAATTATCACCAGAAAGCATTACAGTCACCCATCAAGCACATTATTTTATCAACTGAAGTTATTGAAGTTCCATGATTTGGTAGATTATAGTATTTTATCAGTTATGTATAGGGTTCAAAATAACACATTACCATTAAATATCCAAAGAAATTTTGTTAAAAGACAAAGTTACAATCTTAAGGGGATAGAGATATTTGTCAAACAAAAATTCAGAACTAGTCTGAAGGGAAGGTCTACCTCAATCTAAGGAGTTGGATTGTGGAATGGTCTAGAGAGTGATGTGAAAAATGCCAAGTCAATGTGTACATTTAAGAAAAAGATCAAAACTGAATTGTTAAAAAAAAAGTATATATGAAGTAGCTTAGTGTGTGTTTTGTATTAGAATTAGAAAAATTAGAAAGAGTTATTCATTTTGTTCTGTTACTTGAAAATTATTATGATTGAAATAATTGTTTGAAAAAAGGGGCAGATATAATAAGATTTTTTCTTCTTTCTGCTGCCTTTCATTTTAAATCTTTTGTATCTTTTTATATTGTTATGGAATTGTTTTGTACTTTTTTTAAATGAATAAACTTTATACCATACCATACCATATATGCATGTGTCGTGAGAATGTTATATACGAGTGTCTAGGTTGTTTGATAAAATTGGGCCCAGGTCTCCATGAACCACGGAGATGGAGGATCCTCCCCGCAGCTCAGTAGTGCACCTGAACCCCAAGGCCCTGCTTGAGTGGTGGTGTGATGGAGTGGGTTAGTAAAAAGGAGGACAGCTGACCAAGACGTTCAAAAACGTGTGACATTAGGCTGCAAACTGAACCACAGCCAGTTAAGACAATAAAAACCAATGATTCTTTAATTTCTAATAACTTTAGTTTTATGTTATATAGCATGAAATTGTTTGGACATCGTTAAATTAATGAATTTCCATTCATTTCTGCATTTCAGGCTGCAACTAGTAAAACTTGTTTAATGTTTAACTACGACCACCAGAGGGAGCTCTCTGGTTAAATTCAAGTAACCAGCTGCAGGTGCATGCTCAATGATCAAGGTGGATAAATCTAACCAGGTTGAGTCAGTTACTCTGGACGGATTCTTCTTGGTTGAAATGTTTCGTCTTTTATCCAAAACACTTCTTGCAACAAACTCAGTCTTATAAGGAGAACCTTCTCATAGTGGATCAATCAGTTTGCTGGTGACAGCCAGAACTGGAGCACAAGTCAGGAATCATCAGGACTCTGTACCACAGAGCAGACAGCGTCCAAATTAACTCAGGAGCCAGGCAGAAGGAGAAATCCCACACAAGACAGGATCAATGTGGATATCCTGACTGGGCCTTCCTGAAAGCAGAGAAGAAACCCAAACAGGACTCCAGTCAGCCAACAGGTGAAAAGGAGGAACCCAGACCCAGACCAGTGGTCATTCCATATGTTGAGGAAGTTTCAGAGAAACTGAGATGTGTATTTTCTAAACACAACGTCCCAGTGGCTTTTAAACCCCAAAATACATTACGGCAAAGACTGGTTCATCCCAAAGATTCAGTCCACTGGCACAAACAGAGTAATATTGTGTATGTTGTTCAGTGCCAGGAGGGTGATCAGTCTTACATTGGGGAAACTAAACAGACACTGGCCAAAAGGATGGACCAACACAGAAGAGCAACATCATCAGGCCAGGACTCAGGGCATTTAATATCACTTGTTTGGCTGATGGTCCTCCTTTATCATGTGAACAGCTAGTTCTGACTGTCAGCAACAAATCGGTTGGTCCACTATGTGAAGCTGCTGTTTATACTGAGTTTGTTGCAGCTGCTCAGACTGAAGAAGTCTTTTGGATAAAAGACAAACCATTTCAACAATAAGAATCCGTCCAGAGGACCTGACTTAACCTCGTTAGATAACCAGTTGGAGTTTCCTCCCCACTTGAAAACAAACCGTCTTATGTTTTAAATTAGTTTGTCTCTGGAACATCTAGTCTCTGGTAAAACCTCCTGATTCTTCAATCATGTGTCACAAAGCAAAGAAAGGCGAGGATTCAGACTCACCCTGATCATCGAAGGCATGAGTCAGCTCGTGACCCATCACTACCCCGATGCCACCAAAGTTCAATGCTCTGAAACCCAAACACACGTTTAAACAGGTCTTCAGGGACCAGACGAGGTGTCAGGCATCAAACTGAACATCGACATAAAGAAAATATGTCTGAAGTCAACCAGGAATGAACCAAAGCAGGTTACACAACAGATTGGATCAATTTTAACTGGTTAAAGGCAAGGAAGGAGATGTGTCCAACAAACTAAATGAAACGTTCATGTGAGGAGCTAAACATGAGACAGGTGGTCAGACAGACAGATGGCCAGACAGACAGGTAGATGAGAGGTGAACAGACTTGGGGTGGTCGTGGGCGTAGAAAGGAGCTTGTAGGATCCCAGCGGGGAAGACAATGCCGTTCTTAGTGGGCATGTAGTAGGCATTCACTGTAGGAGGAGTCATGCTCCATCTGCAGGAGAGGAGGGAGGAGAGAAGGGGAAGGAATGGAGTTAATGTCCAAATATCCATATGTCCTGCCAAAAACTGGAGGTCTTAATCTTGTTTATTACAGGAGATCAGCAGATTGGGTTCATGTTTCCAGGAGCAACATCTCAGTATGTTGGTGCTTTCATGGTTCTTAACATCAAGACAAACAGGTAAAAATCACAAGTAACACCTTTCAGTTCTTAATGTCTCAACTTAATCGACCTGCTCCTTCGTCCTAACCCAACAACACACAGACGCCTTATCGCCCTCAGCTGGGCCTTTCTTGGGTTCTTAGAAGCCGGTCAAAACAAGTATGAAGATACCTGTGGCAGACTGGTTCTTTTTGTACCCAGAAGGTCTGGGTACATGATGACCAAAGCTGCCAAAGTATGACTTGTAGATGAGCTAAAACCTGGCTACATAAGAGCTAAACTAATGTTAATATTTTAGCTTCTCTCCATGGGTTTCCTGTCAGATTCAGAATAAAATGTAAAATATTCTAACCTACAAAGCTCTCAACAACCTAGCTCCATTTTACATTAAAGATCATGTTGTTCCAGATTAACAAAGCACGTTGCTCTCAGACTGCAGGTTTACTTGTGATTACTAGAGTTTCTGAAAGTAGAATGTGAGGCAGAGCTTTCAGTTATCAGGGTCTTCTCTTGTGGAACTAACTTTCAGTTTCTGTCCGTGAGGCTGACACATTGTCCAGTTTTAAGATTAGGCTTAAGACTTTCATTTTTCATAAATCCTATAGTTAGGGTTGGCTTGGGTTCCCTGCATTATCCCTTAGTTCTGCTGCATGAGGCCTCTGGACCATAGAAATGACAGCTGGACCACAGAAACCCCACCTGGACCACAAAAACTACTCCTGGACCATAGAAACGACACCTGGACCACAGAAACCACACATTGACCACAGAAACCACACATGGACCACAGAAACCACACATGGACCATAGAAACTACACATAGACCATAGAAACCACACCTGAACCACAGAAACTACACCTAAACCAAATAAACTTCTCACAGAACACAGAAACCACACCTGGACCACAGAAAACACACATGGACCACGGAAATCACACATAGACCATAAAAACTACACATGGACCATAGAAATCACACCTGGATCACAGAAACATCTGGACCACAGAAACCACACATGGATCATAGAAACCACATAAATCACAACTGGACCATATAAACCAAACAAGGGCCATAGAAACTACACCTGGACCATAGAAACCACACCGGGACCACATAAACTATGCATGTACCACAGAAACCACACCTGAACCACAGAAACCGCACATGGACCACAGAAACCACACATGGACCACAGAAACCACACATGGACATTAGAAACCATATAAATCACACATGGGTCATAGCAAATACACATGTACCATAGAAACTACACCTGAACAACAGAAACTACACATGGACCATAGACACCATATAAATCACACCTGGACCATATAAACTAAACATGGACCATAGA